GCCGCCGGGCTGCACGCCGCGCCCATGGCCGCCGAGCGCGCCGTGGCCTTCATGGACCAGGTGCGCGCCTTCCAGGAGCAGGTGGACAAGCTGGGCCGCCTGCAGGTGGACTCGGCCGAGTACGGCTGCCTCAAGGCCATCGCGCTCTTCACGCCGGGTGAGCCTGCGGGCGCGGTGGGGAGGTGGGAGGGCCGGGCGCGCTGGCACCACGGGCCCCGCCCCGGGTGAGGCTCCTCCCCAGGCCTGGCTCCTGGGAGGTCCTAACTCCCGGCTCCGCGAGGGCTGCGAGGGCAGTGCAGCAGTGTCACCGGGCTCCCCCCACCTTACGATCCCCGCAACCCCGAAGAGGCCCTGTGCACGGTGCGGTGCTGCGCCCCCTGAGCGCTGATCGCCGCGGGCCGGGAGTGGAGGCCCTACCTGGCCCGTGGTTCCAGGTGCTTCTCGGCCCCCGGTCTGACTACCTGAGCCCATCCCTGCCACCGGCCTGGAGGGGCTGCACAGCCGGTTCTTAACTTGCACAAAGTCTCCTGAAGGACAGACTTGCTGGGAGGCGCCTGTCATCCCAGCACTTGGGAAGCTGAGGCAGTAAGGTCTCAAGCTTGATCGCAGCCTGGGCGCCTTAGCGAGGCTTGTGTGCGTGGTGGAGGCTGCAGCCTGGGCCCCACCCCACTCGCGCCCCAGAACCTGACCTGCCCAGGCCCCGCTCTGACGCAGCCCTGTCCGCAGATGCCTGCGGCCTGTCGGACCCCGCGCATGTGGAGAGCCTGCAGGAGAAGGCGCAGGTGGCGCTCACCGAGTACGTGCGCGCCCAGTACCCGACCCAGCCCCAGCGCTTCGGCCGCCTGCTGCTGCGCCTGCCCGCGCTGCGCGCCGTGCCCGCCTCGCTCATCTCGCAGCTCTTCTTCATGCGCCTGGTGGGCAAGACGCCCATCGAGACGCTCATCCGAGACATGCTGCTGTCGGGCAGCACCTTCAGCTGGCCCTACGGCGCCGGCCAGTGATGCCCGCCATTTTTAAAGACTGGAGATGTTTGTCCTTCTGTTTTTTAAATGATCAATAACCAAAAAGAGACATCTTCTGGGCCGGCTTGGGCTCGCGGCACCCCCGGCCCGGGTGGGGTGACAGCCTGGTCCACAGTCCCCCAAGCACGAACTCCGGGCGGCAGGCGGGTGTCCCCGGCGTCCCGGAAGGGCCGGGGTCTGAACCTGCGGTCCGCGTGGGACAGTGCGAGGTGGGAAAGTCAGGCTGATAAACACGATTTGTACTGCGCAGCCTGTCCCTGCAGCTTTATTTCTGCAGCCTGGGAGCTGCGGTCGCTCCGTTTCCTGGGCTGGGCCCCAGTCCGGGGCTTCCGGCCTGAGCCTGCGCTCACGCCTCGGCGCTGGTGAGTGAGTGAGGCCGTCCCCACCCACACTGACTGTCATCAGCCCCTGGTCCCCATGTCCCGGTTCCTGCGGCCGCAGTTGGGGCCAGTCGGTCACAGGACCTCAGCCCAGCCAATCGGAGCCCTCCGTCTCCTGCTGGCAGTGGCAGGTGACGCGGGGCCCCTGATCGGAGCTGGCCGGGACCCGACGCCAGCCTCCAGAGCTGGGGGGCCCCACTGTAGGAGACGAGCGGCGAGAGACGCCGGCTTCCCTCGACGCCGCGAGGGCCCCGCACAGCCCCGCCTGAAGCTCGGGGCGTCTTAAATCTCACGAATGCAATTCCCCTTTGGTGCCAACAGGCATTCACCCTCTTCCTACAAGCAAGTAAAACACTCCTGTCTCTGAAATTGGCATCGGAAGGCGCGGGCCTGAGACGTGGAAGAGCCGGGTCGGTGTGGGGCGCAGGGGCCCCGCTCGAGGCGGGGAGCACAGCGCCGTGCGGCCGGCCGCGGCTCCTTCCTGCTGCGCATGCGCCCGGCCGGGCCCTGACCCCCTCCGCCCGCAGAGAGGAGGCCTCCGCCCACATCCAGGGAGGGACGGGTTCCGTCCGGCTGCAGACCCCCGCAGCCTGCCCACTCCCTTGGAGGCAGCAGGGAGGGCGAAGTCAGCCTCGCTGCCCCGTTCTCTACGGGCCAGAGGGATAGTGGGACTCGCAGCACAGCGGAGCCGCATTTCTCGGCCACGTCGTGGCGTCTGCCCCATTGCCTGGTCCCAGGTGCGGTGCACCTCCGCTGCTTACGAAGCCCACCCATCAGCCCCTCTGCAGAAAGACACCCCGAGCCTCCCTGTTTGGACTCGTGTCGAGCCTTCGGTCACTGGCCTGGCCGGGGTGACCCCAGATGCTGGCCTTCAGCCTCAGAGTCACAGTCACTTGGCGACTCTTGGGGAAGAGGGCTCTGCGGGGTAGGATGGGCACTGAAACCGCACCAAGGGTCTCAGGCAGGGCTTGATCTGGGAGTTTTTCGAGCACCAGGGAAGCCGCTTTCGTCACAGCCTCCCCGTCCATGGTCCTGAACGAGGCCCTTTCTTGGGATCTCTTTATTTTTCCTTCCCCTGGCAAATGAAGAGATTTCTGCTGACAACTGGGTGAAGGCTGGAGTGTTCAGCAGCTGCACTCTGCTGCATGCTCATCCCACTGGGGCGGAGACACAGTCCCGGGGGTCACGTGGCCACCAGAGAGCGCCAGGGTTGCATCCGGGACACTCAGAAGTATGCTGAGCCCTCGCTGTCTGTTTGGTCATCGAATTTCTGGATCTGGGTCTTGAGATGCCTCAGTTTACCCTTTAGGTAGAGACAGCGTGCTTGCCTGTGCTGGAAGCCAGGGTCCTAGGAGGGCGAGAACCACAGCTGTGCCTCAGTCTCCCCTCTCTCACCTGGGCACAAGAGTCCCGCGCGACGGCGGTGTCAGGCTGCAGACCCCGCCTCACCCTGCGCTTCTTCTCCAGCTCCTGCCAGACGCGGGCAGTGGCGCGGGCCTCCTCCTGCGGGGCGGGGGGACAAGGAAGCATGCGAACTGAGGCCCAGGGGCCAGAAGCCCTCCTCGTAGCTGCCCACGGCGGCACCTGTCCGCACCTGGCTTCGAGGCCGAGGCAGCGCGCGCAGCCGCGTCTCCAGCTGCTGCAGTTTGGCTTGGGTGGCGACCACCTCATGCTGGAGCTTCTGGAGCTCTGCATGCTGGTCCTGGAACACGGCGACATAGCAGCTCCGCGCTCTTTCGCTCCTCAGCGGTGGATACTTACTAAGGGTTCGAGGGGGCCAGAGTGTGAGTGGAAGGAAACTCACTCTTCTTACCCTGTCTGGTTTGGTTTTATACTCAATATTCCCTTTTCTGTATTTGATCAACTCTTATTCACCAGGCAAAGCCCCAGCTTCAATGCCCCTTTACTGTTCTGGGGCATGCAGAACCACACTGGGGCACTCACAGCTCGTAGTCGGGCACTGGGTGGGGCCTGGGCATCTGCACACCCGGCCCAGCTGCAGCAGGTTTCCTGGCACCCAGGAGTGCCCGCGAGGTCAGCTCATCCTCAAATGTGATCTTCCGGGGCCGAGCCTGGTGGGGTGCAGGCGGGCGCTGGCATGGGGGGCGGCGGGCGCCGACTGTATGGCCTGGAGACATTGGTGTCTGCAGACGCCGCGGGAGCCGTGGGTGGGGTTACAGGGCGTCTGGAAGTGGGGTCCCCAGCCTGGAGGAGCTGAATGCTGGGCCCCGGGGCTCACTCACCGGGGGTCCGGGGCCAGGCGGGCTCCCCTGAAAGCCACGGGCCTGGGGTCGCTCGCAGGTGGGCATCGGCCTTGGGGGGACGCCGATCACGGGGTCCCGGGCTGGCGGGCGGGCCCTGCGGGGAGCGTCGCGGCCCGCGCGTGGCGGGCGTGGCCTGCGGGCAGCCTGTGGACATCGGGGGAGGGCGCGCCTGGAGGCGACCGGGTGGGAGCATGTGCGGGGCGGGCGAGTGCCCGACCTGCCGCTATTTGCATACACGCACGCGGTTGGCTCACGACGCGCCCAGACCCCGCCCCGTCGCGTAACCCGGAAACGCGCCATGCAAATATTCATGACGTCACCGCGCAGCCACAGCCGCGAACTCAGTGAACGCCCCCTCGCGGTGCTGAGCATTGCCCTCCCTGCAGTCGGGAGCCCACGCCACAACCCCAAAGTGTCCCCGGGACCTCCGCCCACACGCAGGTCTCACGCGTCGCTCCCGCCAGTGTCACCTGTCCCAGCGTCCGGGGATTCGAGTCTGGGTCCCTGGCCGGAAAGGCACCTAAGTCCCGGTTGTGTATTAACAGCGCTCGGGCCCAGAGTGGCGGAGTCACCCCGCAGGCCGGGGGCGGGGCCTGGAGGAGAGGCGGGGACTAGAGGGGCGGAGAGGCGGGGACTAGGGGGCGGGGCCTGGCGGGGCGGGACTGGGCTCGGTTGTTAAGCAGGTTGGCTTCCGACCTCTGAGGTTCTCGTCGGGACTCTCAGTTCTTATTTGACTTAAAAGGGGCATGGTTTTCACCAACTTAACTTACTTTATCTCTTCAGCAATTCTATTTTAAAAATATTTTCTTAGCGCCTGGCCTGGTGGTGCATACCTGTACTCCCATCACTCTGGGAGGCTGAGACAAGAAGATCGAAACTTTGAGCCCAGCCTGGGGAATTTAGTGACTTAGCGAGAACCCATCTCAAAAAACAAACGGCCGGGGATGCGGCTCAGGGAAAAGGCCCTGGGTTCAAGCCCTAGTAACACACACAACTCCTTCAATAACCGATAGGGACACAGCAGGAAATCCAAGCAATAGAATGCATAGGACACTGTGAAGGTCGCTGTCGCCGGGTCCCGCGGAGAGGCGCTCTTCAGACAGCTCCCTGAGGGCGTCTCTCGCTGCCTGCGTCGCCGCCGGTAACATCCTGCAGGGGGCGCTCAGACCCAGGCCACCACCAAGGCTTCCGATCCTATTCTAACCAGGGTCACCTGGAGGGACTTTGCCACCTCCTTTAACGCCCGTTATCCATCCCCGAAATGTTTTTAAAAAGCATTTTAAAAATGTTTTTATTTTCTCCACTACTGGGGATGGAGCCCAGGGCTTCACATTGAGCTGCACCCCCAGGCCTTTTTCATTTTGAGACAGGGTCTCCCTAAGTTGCCTGTACTGGGCTGGAACTTGTGATCCTCCTGCCTCAGCCTCCCAGAGTGCTGGGATAACAGCAGTTCTATCTTCAAGTTTAAAATTTCACCTCAGCTTGCGAGTGACATTTAGAAACCATTATATCCTTTTCCTGTACATACCCTGCAGGCCTTTGGTTTTTCTCTTGTTGCATTTTAGGAGTTTTGCATCTCAGTGAAATTAGCCTTTATGTTACCATTGCACATGGACTCTTCTGATACATTTAATAGCCAAAATACATTTTTTATTTTGCTTTTTTAGTTTATACTTTTTTTTGTACCGGGAATCAAACTCAGGACCTTGCACTTGCCCGGCAGGCGCTTATGCTGCTGAGCTATATCCCCGGCCTGATTTTATACTTTTGAATTTGGGTCTTACTGTGTTGTCCAGGTTGGCCTTGGACTCCTGGTCTCAAGGCATCCTCCTGACTCAGCCTCCCAGTAGGGACCACAGGCATGCGTCACAGAGTTTGGCTTCTCCTGGCACCCTGGGCAGCCGGTGTGTACCCCAGCACTGTGGGCTGGAGTGGGACACCTGCTGTCCCCACCCCAGCCGGTGCCCGCCTTGGTCTCACAGTGCCCGGTGGCGTCAGCGGGCACCCCGCTACTTGAGCTTGGGCACAATGCGGATGAAGAGGATCATGCTGATGAAGATGAAGCAGACCACGATGAGCATGGCCCACAGCAGCCAGTTGACTGACTTCTGAGCATGCTGCTCCAACCGCTCCGACTCAGTCTTCAGCTTCTCCAGGTTCTGGTCAGCCATCTTGAGTGAGTGCGACAAGGTCTGCAGGCAGGATGGGCTGGGTCAGCGGGCTTGACCAGGAGTGCACCTTGCTACTGCCCTGGAGTAGCCCTCGGCCTTCCCACCTCTGCTAGTGCTGTCCCCTTTCGTGGGAACACCACGTTTTAGGGCTTCTACCAAATTCCTATTCATCCCGCCAAGCCCCAGTCACAATGCCCTCTCCCTGAGGAGCGCATGTCAGCAGAGTTCCCACAGCCCCGCACCTGGTTGTCCCTCTTGATGACGCTCTGGGCGGCCAGCGTGTTGGTCTTGAGGCTCCGGGCCAGGCCCAGCATCTCTTCTGCCAGCTTCTCCTGCAGGTCCTGCTGCCGCTGCAGGACGAGGTCTAGCTCGGCTGCTGACTGCTTCTCATCTGTGGGCCTGGGCCCGGCCACCCCACTGACCCCACGAAATGGTAGGTGGGCACAGGAGAGGGGTTGTGTGGGGAAAGAGACCGACATGTTCCCAGGGGTGCCCTGTTCCAGACTCAGCTTCCCCACCCCCAAAAGTGGCTTCTGGCTGTCTGGCCCCCCTTCTCCCATGGCGGAAGGCGGGACACTCACCTGCGCTTCCTCACCTCCGACCCCCGCTCTGGAAGCAAACACAGGCCGGGCGGGGAGCGGACTTGGCATCCTGCTTCCAGCCCCGAGCCTTGTGCCATCACGGCCACCCACGATGTCAGTTCCCCTCCTGGCTGCTGTCCAGGGGGCTCCTACTGCTGCTTCAAAGCCCCAGCTAGAACGCCCACTGTTGCAGAAGCCTAGACTCCCCAAGGCCCCAGGTCCCTTCCTCCCGCCTCGAGTTGGCCCCTTTGCTAGGAGTGCTCAGCTGGGTCTCCACCAGGGTCACTCCTGCCCCAGCTCCTGGGGTCAGGCCCCCTGACCCGGCATAGGATGCACGTCCTGTCTGGTTCCTGGATGTGAGACCTCTCCTGCTCAGCAGCTCACCTTCGGCAGAGTCCTGGGGAAGAAAGGACAGGCATGAAGTCCCCGAGGGAGAATCCCGAGAGGGAATCCCCGCGTGAATGGCCGGGCGAGCTCTGGGCATGGCCAGACCCGGTTCCTTCTTTACTTTGGCTCTGAGGGCTGAGCGCAGCGCCGCACGGAGCCACACCCCCTGGCCCGTTCCTCTTTTTTATTTTGAGGGAGGGTCTAGCCGAATCTCCGAGTTGGCCAGGGTGGCTGGGCTCCAACTTTCAATCCTCCCGGCCCAGCCTCCCAGAGTGCGGGGATCCCGGAGGCCCTACAGCCAGCGCTTCTCGGCCGGCCCCGTTCCGCGCTGCCCGGGCACCCAGGCGGCCCAGCTCACCGTGCCCAGCAGCTCCTGCCGCATCTCGCCGGCGTAGCGCGCGCGCGTCTGCAGGTGCACGGTCCTGGTGGCGGGCACGCGCTCGCGCGCTGTGGTTGGCACGCGGCCGGGCGCCAGGAACTGGTTGGCCAGCGCCTTCTCAGAGGTGGAGGCCTGCGGACAGGGCCACGGGCGGGTCACGGACGGGGCCGGGCGTGAGCGCGGCGGAGCGGGGCGCAGGGGGCGCGCCGGCTCACCAGCTTCTCCGTCTGCAGCAGGCCCCGCAGGAAGTCCACCTTGCGCGCGTACTCGTGCAGCACCTCGGCGGCCGGCCGGCTGCGGGCGAGGACAGCGGGCGGTGCTGAGGCCGCCTCCGCCCGCCCGCCGCGCGGGGCCCCGCCTCCGCACTCACCTCGCCTGTGCCCTCAGCGCCTGCAGCATGTCCTCCAGGGCCCCCACGTACTGCGGGGGAAAGGGGCGGGGCAGCGAGGCCGCCGCGCCCACATGGGTCAGAACCCGCGGGGGCCAGGGGCGGGGCCGGCCGCCGGGGCGGGGCCAACAGGGAGAGGCGGGCCGCCCGGGCGGGGCCAATGGCGAGAGGCGGGGATGCGGCGACAAGGGGTGGAGTCACACGTGCCGGGGGCGGGGCCAACAAGGCGCGGGGCTACACGGTCCCGGCAGGAAAAGGGACGAGCCAAAAGGCCAACGAGGCGGGGGTCAAGAGGGAGCGTGGGAACACGGGGGCGGGGCCAAGTCAGGGACGCAGGCCTGCGGAGAAGGGCGGGGCCCAGGTTCGGGCAAAGTGGCGGGGACGTGGCAGAGCCGAATGGGAGAGGCGAGTCAGCGGCGCTGACCGGAAGGGGCGTACTCAGCGAGGTCGGTAAGGTGGGGGAGCCAGGTCGGCAGGTCGCCTGACCCGAGAGCCACCCTAGAGGGGTTTGGTTCTTTACGGTAGCGTGGAACCCCCTTACCTTCTCCAGCCGCCACTCTTCTGGCTCCCGCTTCTCCGCTGCCATTGCTTCGCAGCGGCAAAGCAGCCTCACCAGGTTCAGCTCTAGCCTAGACGCAGCCATCGTCAGCGGCCGGTACACTTCTCCTTCCGTCGGCGCCATCTTAAGAGAGGGCGGAAGTGGCTTCATCAGGCCACCCTCTGGGCGGATGTTCCTTTTCCCTCGTTCGTTGGCCCATCTTTGGGGCGGAAGTGGTATCTTGTCTCGAGAGGCGCACTCCAGCCATATTTACTCAGGGCAAAATCCCTTGCTTTTCCGGGGAACAGTCTTACACCCTCAGGGAACCTTGGAAGGAACCTGGTCCTTTGATGAACCACGTGCAGCGCCCCTCTGGTTATTCCATTCCACATGTTCACAGTGCCTGGACTCTTCTCCAAGCTATTCCGTATCTGCGGCGTTCTGTTTCTCTTGGGGGAAGGAACCCTGGCCTGGGCCTTCGGCCGCCAAGGCCGCCTCCACCTTCACTGTAGGACACGGGCTCGCATATGCCTCGCGAGCGGTACGCACGAGGACCTTCCGGGCCGCAGCCTTGTCGCCACCCTCATCCGTGGCCTTGGCCTACGTTAGCTCTTCTGGGCCTCTTTTTTGGAAGTGGGCAGTGTGACAGTGTGTGTCTCAAGGGTCACAGCCTCACCTTGGGAGGGCGGTAGGGCCTGGTCACCCCGAAATTACTGGAATCCCATGGAGAGGAGCCCGTCCAGGCCCACGCAGGTCCCCGGGAATAGGGTGCCCCAGCGTCTGCAGAGCCTGGCCCGCTGCTGCTGTCTCCTCACCCATAGGCCCACCTGGGACGTGGGCTGTCTGACCCAGGAGTGCCCCGGTGTCCACACCAGAGGGGCCTGAAGTCTGGGACCGCAGTTAAGGTGCTTTCAGAGCAGACCCTAGGAGTCTGGATCCCAGCCCGCCCCACCCCTTCCCGGGTGTGCAGCCCGACCTTGGGCTCCCCAGCCCCGCATTCACAGCCGGTTCTTACACTTAGGGGTGCTGCTGGCCACCTGCTGGGCGGTTGCTCCCGGTTCTCCCAGGACAGAAAGCCGCCCCTCCTTGCGCAGTGCGGGGTGGGGGACGCTTGCCCCTGACAGCTGGAGTATCTCCTCCAAACCGCTTGGGCCCAGAAGTGGTTTGGGCTCTGGAGTATATGCCTATGTAACCAGGTGCCTTGGAGATGGTACCCAAGTCTGAACACATTTACTTCTTTCCTAGAGCTTAAGCCCAGGGCCTGCGCTGAACTGTACGCATAGCTTTTTTTGGACGCAGGACCTGGAGCTGCTCGGCACAGCCTCACACTGGGATCTTGCTGGGGTGTACCACGTGTGGCTCGCGCTCGTGTTCCACCTAGGCCCTACACACAGTGTAGTTTCCTTTTGCGCTGGCAGGGAACCCGGGGCCGGGGCTAAGCACGTGCGAACTCGTGTGTACAATCCTCCCTCCCTAGGGTAGCTCGTGTCATCTTTCTAGTGGCCGACTTTGACTGCAACCCTCGTGGGACGTCGGGTGAATTCTGCGCCTGGGTGGCACTGGTGCTCAGAATCTGGAGCATCTGTGATTCCAGGAGAGGGGTGCACAGCCTGCACCCGGGCCCTGCGGGGCTCCTTGCCCCCACCCGGTGTGAAGGGTCTGCGTGACACCCGCTAGCGCAGCGCCCCCTCTGGCCGGGGTGTAACCCCCACACACACGGTGTCACAGCACTTTCTCTTTATTCCGGCCGCGGCCTTGCGTCCTGGGGGCCGGGAGCGCTGAAGCCTGAGGAGAGCGCGGCCGCAGCTGTGGGTCTGCAGGAATGTGCAGCTTCAGGCTGGGGCATGGTCCTGAGTCACAGCGCTGGCCTCTTCTGGCCCCTGGCACCACAGCACAAGGGAGAGAGGCGAGATGACCACATTCTGGTCCCCTGGGGTGCAGACGGACTGCTGTTGGCGACGCCACCCCAGTTCATGTCCTCTGAGCCCACAGAGGGCCCCAATGCTTCCTGGAATGTACCTTGGCCAGCAGCTGTGCCTATCGCCAGCGGGCGTCCCGTGTGGGAGACAGACGAGGGTGGCGAGGTGCCCCGAGAGTTCACAGCTCCTGCGCTGTGCAAGGTCCCTGTGGCCACCCAAGGTGACTACGGTGTGGCCGCCGCTGTGGTCTCTGCTCTGCCCAGGCCCGTGTTACAGGGACGCACACAGCGTTAATAGCAAAGTCTGAACGTACAGTATAAAACAGTTCGGTCTCCCACTAGGCTGGTACAGTTTCAAGTTATGTAAACCACGTACAAGTTGTCATGAAAACGTACAAAAGGGGGAGGGGAGGCGAGGCCCCCCGGGATTCGGCAGCCTGGGTGGTGCACCTGTGGCTGGCGGACCTGCAGTGAGGTGGCCTGGACCCTGGCCGGGGCAGCGCCCTCAGGCTCACTTCCAATCTGGATCCTTCCTGGAGCCACTGCAGCCGCAGGCTAGCGCAGCGTCCTCGATGTGACCATCCCAGGCCTCAGCTCGGGGCCTGGCCCGGGGTAGGGGGCAGGCAGTAGGTTGGGGGGTCCGAGTACCTGCGCTTGGCCCCTGGAGGCCGAGTGTCCTTGTCCAGGGGTTCCAGGGCTCCAAGCGTGGGCAGCCCCAGGCCAGGTGTGATGTACACGGAGCGCACCTGGTCAGGGCGGCGGGCTGGCGGCTCCCGGCGCCTCAGAGGGCCAGCAGGCTCCCGGGGGGGCAGATGGGAGGGCAGGCCCGGCGGGAGCTTGATGTTGGCCGTGGGCATGACAGGCGTCCGCCGCGGGGTCTTCACTCTGACCATGGCGAAGGACGCCGGCCGGCGCCTTGGAGGCACCATCATGGGAAGGGGGCTCGGGGCGGGCGCGGTGGGGTGGGGGGACGCAGGCGCGGGGGGCCCTTGGAGAGACAGATGCGGGTCACTGCTGCTCAGGCCTGGGGACCCTGGCCACCTGCCCGGGCAGCAGCAGAGCGGACCCTACCTTAATACTGACCTTCGGCAGCCCCCCGCCCGGCCCGCTCCTCCAGCAGGCTCTCGGTGCTGGCCGATGTCTCCGAGTCCAGGGTCTCCTCGTCCGAGCCCCTGGGCTCCAGTTCTGGCAGCCGGTAGGTGATGTCCTCCCTGGGGAGCAGGGTCACATGTCCAGGGCCGCCCACACAGAGACCACCATGCACAAAGTGGCTGGCCAACCGTGGCAGAGCAGGCTGTCCTGCTCCTGGGGGTCACCCTCTCCCCCAACCTGCCTGCACCCCAAGTACACCTACCCTGAAATGCCTGTGGCCCGCAGCAGAGGGAAGCCCGTGCATCTAACGCTGCACCGGGCAAGCCATGAGCTCCTGCCCCAGGCCCTTTGTATGTGTAGCTGCCTCAACCCTGGAACCTGCCTCCACTCCGAGCCTGAATCGGCCAAGCAACCCGGCCACATCTGTTCTCCTGGCGTTAACTTTTCAAATTTCTTGAGACAGGCTGCCCTGACTGTGCTCCAATTTCTAGGTTCCTGTGACCCTCCTGCCTCAGCCGCCAAGCAGCGAGCAGCAGGGACTACAGACACGTAGTGTGCTTTCCCTTTTGCAGTGCTGGGACGGATCCAGGGTCTTGCCCCCAGCACACCCCAGCCTGGCACCACGTTTTAAACAGTGCCCCTTCCCCACGCCAACCTCGAGTGTACGACGCACAAGGCTGGCCGTCGGTGTGCCCAGCACTAAGATGAGGCTGGGGCTTTGCCTGGCGGCTTCCCTGTGGGCCCCCGGGCGAGCCTGCATTCGGCAGGGCCCGTGCAGGCGTTCACAGGTAAAGCTCAGGACAAGGGTCCCAGGAGGACAGGACTTCCTTCCCCACGCTGGGGACGCGGCACGCCTGGCCAGGCTGGGCCGCAGGGCCGGGGGTACTTGCTTCTCCTCCTTGAGGGACTGGATGCGCTCCAGGAGCATCTCCTTCTCCCGGTCCTCGCCGCCGCCGCCGCCACCGGCCGCCTCCTCCTCTGGGAGCGCCTCCAGCTCCTCCAGGCTGCCGTCGCGGCTCACAGGGGTCTTGGGGCTCTTGCTCTGCGAGGCAGGCGGCAAGTGTGAGGCTCGGGACCGGGCAGGCAGGGTTGGCGGAGACAGGAGGTGTGGGGACACTAGGGAGCCTGCGCCGGGCCTCCACGGGCTCCGCGGCGGGCGCGACCAGCATGCAGGAGGGGAGGGAGGCCGCGCCTGCACCCTGCACCACCGGCATGCACCGCGGCCGCCGCAAGCTACCTACCAGCACCCCCTCACAGGGAGATGAGAACCCCAGTTTGAAAGGCCAGGGCTGGGGAGAGAGGGACGCAGGTGAACGGGAGGTGCACGGGTGGGGCCTCCCGCTCCTTCGCGAGGGACAACGGTGGGCCGAGTGTGCCCAGCCGATCGGGGTGCGACTCTGCCATCTGAGCGGCCACGAGGTCCCTCCCCCGCCCCACTGCCCCGCCCCCCCCACGCGGCCGCGCCTCCTCCTGCCCGCGGCTCACAGAGCTCTGCTGCAGCAGGGACAGCCGACGGCAGGCGATGCTCTCCTCGGCCTCCAGCTGGCTGATCTCCTCCATCTTCACCCTGTACTTCCGCATCTGCTCTTTGATCAGCATCTCCACGCACCTGCAGGGCCCGGGAGGCGACTCCATTAGGGCACTGGGGATGCCCTGCGTCCAAGGGGGCGCTGCGCTGGGGCGGGGGCCCACGAGGCCGGGCGCCGGGCTTGCTGTGAGACCCAGGCCTTCAGCGCAGCCTGTGGAGGTCTGATCCCGGGGCGGTCGGTACTGGGGACTCAGTCCAGGAAGGGAGACAGGGGCCGCTACCATGTCCATACACTTAGGGCTGTGCCCGCAGAGCCCCAGCTGCCCTCCCCCGCCCGGCGGGGCGCTCACGTGGTGATCTTGAGGACGTCCTTCATGCTGGTCAGCGGGTCCGAGTTGTCCGGGCAGCGCAGGAGGCAGGGCGCGAAGACGATGGCCAGCGCCCCAGGCGACATGCGGTTCACGTCCTCCAGCAGGGCCACCCTGCGTGCCCACCGGCAATTAGGGGCAGCCAGGCCCAGCAAGGGGGGTCCCCAGGGGCCTGAGACAGGAGGGGGGCCCCAGCGCCAAGCCGGGGGCACGGGGCCCTGAGGTCCCCTCCCGGCCGGCAGGGAGGCGGTGGCAACCCCCCAGGCACTTGCTTGACGAGGTGGAAGACGAGCCGCTCCAGCGAGTCGTGGTTGGCTTTGGGCAGGTGCTCCAGGACGGCATAGATGGCGGCCAGCTGCTCCTGCTTCTCTGGCAGCTCTGGGGAAGCAGCAGGCGCGCGGCATCAGGCCAGCCTCCCAAGCTGGCTGGGGCCGGAGGAGACGGAGCGGCATGCAGCAGCCTGCAGCGGCCGCGACCCACAAGGGGCGGCCCCTCCCCCGCTGTGCGCCAGGCTCACCGACAGCGCGCAGGAAGTCGCCGTACTGGGCGAAGGTCATGAGGGGCTCGGGCAGCTCGCGCAGCCACTGCTTGAGGACGCCGGTGATGGCGTGGATGGGGAAGTCCTCCAACCGCACGGCCGCGGGGTCTGCAGGACAGAGTGCAGTGTGACCACAGGGGCAAGGGCACGCTGGGGGGCAGGGCCGACTGCCTGCTGTGCCCACCTGTCTGCAGCGCCTGCCGGAGCTCGCGCGTACGGTGGGCAGTGCCAGACTTGCGGTAGAGGCCCTCGGTGTAGAGCCCGTGCAGCTCCACGTGCTCCAGCAGCTTCTCCAGCACCAGGGGCACCGAGGCCCTGTCGCTGGTCAGGCTGTCCACGCAGACGCCAAAGTGGCCCAGCTCGGCACCTGGCTCGGTCTGCAGCATGGCGCAGGGGTCAGGGTCCTGACATCGCCACACTGTGCCCTCCCCCGGCCCGCCTCTGTGGGCGGCATCCCCTGCCCCGGTCCCCTCCAGCACCATGGCTGGAGTGCTGGGTGTGAGTTCAGCAGCACGGCTTCCATGGCGCTGGGCAGGGTCCCTCCTGGGGCAGCTGTGCCTGCCACTGGGAGGCTCCTGCTCCCCAAGCCTAGCACAGGGACCCCAGCTTCTCGGAGCAGAGCTGGGGTGCAGACTTCCTCGGGGGCACGGTGAACAGGGCAGGGGCCGTGGCCCAAGGCGCCCAGGGTGGGTGTGCTCACCTTCCTCCCACTCAGGTAGGAGCAGGAGTTCTGAATCTTGTGCACGCACTTCTTGTGGCAGGTCATCTTGCACACTAGGGGTCACACACAAGGCAGGGCTCGGTCACAGGTCCCCGGGCCACCTCCCCCACTGGCCAGGTCCCAACTGCCTTTTACTTATTATTTATTCTGCACTGCTAGGGCTGAAACCCAGGGCCTCACACAGGCTAAGCAGGTGTTCTAGCCCTGGGCTACACCTCCAGCTCTTTGTATATTTATTTAGAGCCTGGGTCCCTCTCAGCTGCCCAGGCTGGCCTTGAACTTTCGATTCTCCTGCCGAGGCCTCCTGAGTAGCTATGACTCCTGGTCCGAATGTGTGGGGCGGTTCAGGCAATGGGAGCAGCGGGAGGACAGGGCAGGGCAGGGCAGGGGGGGGAGGGTGCTCACCGCTGCAGAGCAGGGCCTTGTCCATGAGCCAGATGTAGGAGAGGCAGTGCTCGCAGGACTGCGGGATGCTGACCTGGTAGCTGGCGAACACGTGGCCATTGTGCTCCTGAACCTGTGGGAGCCGGCCAGCAGGGCTCAGCAGGCTGCCTGCCCAGCACCACCACCAGGCGCTGCCGGCAGGCGGGGGGGCAGGCCGGAGAGCACATGCACACGCTCGCACGCCCACAGGGACTCACGTGCACACGCACGCCTACTCACAGCTCGTTCCTGCTTCCGCTTCTTCTTCTGAGCTTTGCTTGGCTGCAAGACACCAAAGCCAGAGTCACAAGGGGACCCCCAGCCTAGGGACACCCCGTCCCAAAGGAGGCCGGAAGCTTCTAGGTACCACCATCCCTCCCACCGGGGGCGAGCGGCCCGCACCCACTCTCCATCCACCCCAGGCCCAAAGGGAAGCAGGGTGGGGTGGGGAAGGCCCAGGAGAGGCAGACGGGGCTGCCTAAGAGTTGTGCCTGAGGCGGGTGTCAGGGAGGCAGAGGACAGGCAGAAGGTGGGCGAGTCCGGGAAGGCTGGGCTGTCACGGCACGGGAGGGGCAGTGGTGGGCAGGGCCACAGCCCTCGGTAAGGGGGGTATGGGCGTGGCCAAAGGCAGTGGGTGTGTCTGGGAGGTTGTAGACTGGAGCAGTGGTGGGTGGGGCCAGGCAGCGGTGGGCGGGGCCCGGGGAACGCCCACCTTCACCCGCTCGAAGTCAGTCTTGGAGCAGCACCGCGTGAACTCGTCCAGCAGCGACTGGAAGAGGTTGAGGACCGGGTTGGTGTCCTCACCGCGCTCGCTGGCCAGGTTGTTGACGATGATCTGGTAGTTCTCCATTAGGTCCTTGTAGCCGACGTGGATCTTTCCGTTCTGCAGGGACACGAGGCGTCACCGCGAGCCCGAGGAGCCCGAGCCGAGCCCACGGTGTGCGGAGGATGCGGAAGGGGCCTCAGAGGAAGCGGGCCCAAGGGCAGGGCCTCCACGCACCGGGACAGAGTACATGGTTTTGATGTTGCTCCGGAACCGCTCCGTGGCCTCGATGAACAGGCCCTCGATGGGCGTCTTCTGGGAGCGCAGGTCGTTTATCTGCAAGGAGAGACCTGGCGCTCAGCCTCTCCTCCTCCTGCCCTCCACTGCCCCAGCCCAAGCCCAGCCCTGCTGGCCAACCCTGCGGACTGCCTGGGGCAGACACCATGTTGGCTCCACCCACAGGGGCAGGGTGCCTCTGCTCCCTGCTGTAAGGGGCACAATGTAATGTCCGGGACTGGAGCAGAAGGATGGGGAGAGATCAGTCAAAGGGTGCAAAGTTTCAGTTAAGAATAAATTTTGGGGGCTGGGGATTTAGCTCAGCGGCAAAAAGCGCCTGCCTGGCAAGGTCGTGAGTTTGGTTCCCGGTACCAGAGAAAAACCAAAAAAAAAAAAAAAAAAAAAAAAAAAAAAAAAAAAAAAAAAAAAAAAAAAAAAAAAAAAAAAGAATAAATTTTGTCTTTTGAGAGGGTCTTGTTAAGTTGCCCAGGCTGGCCCTGAACTTGAAATCCTCCTGTCTCAGCCTCCCAAGTGCTGGGATTACAGGTGTGCAGCCCTGCACCCAGCTAGACAGGAGTGATATAGTTAACAACAGAGTCTCGTGTAGTTTCACAACAGCTAGAAGACAGGATTATTTCCTGGTGCTGGGGCTGAAGCTCAGACAACTCCCTCAGCACAGGTTCTTGGGAGGCTTGGGTTCACCCCTGCGTCCTGCCCCGAGGCCCACCTTGTTGAGCAGGAACTCATCCAGGTACTTGAGCTCGTTGGCATTGGTGATCTTGCGGAATACGGACTCCCGCCACTTCTCTGTCACCGTGATCTTGCCGATCTTGAGGTTGCGGTTCCTCTTCCCTTTGCCGCCTGCGTCCTTGGTGTGCTTCTCACCCGCTGTGTGGCGTGGCTGGTGGCTGGCCGGGGCTGTGGGCGGCACAGAGGAGCCGTGAGTGTGGGCCTGGAGAGAGTGCTGGCCTCCTGGGGCCTGCTCAGGAACGCAGAGAACTGGGACCGCAAGCCGCAGGCCGTGGTCCCAGGCCAGAACTCCCAGCCCTGAGCTCCCTGGCCAGGCCCAGCCCACTGCAGCCTGGGCCCTGCCGCTGTCCAGAAGCTCTGTGTGGCCAACCTTCCAGATTCCTCTTCACAGCGGTGGCTTCCAGCACAGCATGCCCGGGCACCGCAGCCTCGGTCTCCTCCACACCCTCTGGACTGCTCTTCTTCTCCTTGGTCTTATGCAGGAAAAGCCTTTTAAACGTGGACCTGCAGGACACAGGAAGTGGTTTTCTTGTTTTCTTCCTTTGTGACAGGGTCTCACTATGTGTTGGTCCTCCTGCCTCAGCCTCCCGAGGGGTTGGGTAGGCAGGTGCCACCATGCCGCATGCCTGGCAGGAAGTGTTTCTCTTTTTCCTTTAGGACAGGGAGCGCTCAGCTACACCCCCACGCACTTTTTAACTTTTGAGACAAGGTCTTGCTAAGTCAGTATGTTGTGATCCTCCTGCCTCAGTCTCCCGAGTAGCTCGCACTGCAGGTGTGTGCCACCACGCCTGCCTCTCGAGTAGTTCCTGTGAAGCCCTGGGGGGTGGGGATGGATGTGAGGCTTAGGCTCCCCTGACCAAGCACACAACAGATGCTCGTTAATCACCTGACTGAGGAGGGCACCCTATGAAGAGAAGCAGCTTTAGAGAGAGGGTCTAAGTTGCCCAAGCTGGGCTCCAACTTGCAATCTGCTTGCCTCAGCCTCCTCAGTAGCTGGCACTGCCAAGCACTACCGTACCTGGCCAAGATTCCAATTTTACATTAAAAGCAATAAAATTACTTTCTCCTGTCCTCGTATGGGCACAGGGTTAGGAGAACGGATGCTGCCTGTGAACCATGGCTGCTGGCTGAGCAAGGTGGGCGCCCCGCTGCTCGTGGTAGGCTTCGTGGCCGACCCTCCCGGGGCCTCTGCTGTGACCTGGATGTGAAGTGCCCCCCAGACTCATGCACTGAGGGGTGGAGCCCCAAAGTGGTAGTGGGCAGAGGTGGGGCCCAGGGGCTGACTTGGTTACGAGGATGCCAGCCTCAGCCTGATGCGCCCCCTGCGTTCACAGCAGCAGGGGCTGCTAGGAGCTGTGCCCTGGAAGGGTGAGTCCCGGCCCTGGATAGACCCTCCCCTCTTTCTGCTTCTGCTACTTCCCGTTCACCAGGCTGCCCACCACCATGCTCTTGTTCTGGGCGAGCAACCATGGACTGAGCCCTCGGAGCCGTGAGCCGAACGGCCTCCACGGTGCTGCCCAGCACAGCTGCCCTTCCTGACATCTCTGCTGTGGACCCATCTACCGGGCAGTGACTGGTGAGGGACCCCAGGCGTGCCCTGGTGGCCCGAGCACCCAGCCCCTTACTTAGAGTCAGCGTGGGAACCTGGGGACAGCCCTGCGTCTGGGCCTGAGGACGCGTCGCCCGACTTCTTCTTTTGCACAGCTGGCTTCTTGATGCTGGGCTCCCCATCAGTTTCTGAAGAAGGCTGTGGGGACGGAGCAGGAGAGGCCAGGTCAGGTGGGCAGGCCATCTCTGCTGGGGGCAGTGGGGTCCCCGGTGTGTGTTCCACTCGCCAACTCTGGCTCCTCCTTTTGCCAGGGTGATGGTGCACAGTGAGCAAGCACTCACCACTGAGCTGCACCCCTAGCACTCATCCTCTCTTAACTATGAAAGTCTCCGTAAATTGCTCTGGCTGTGCTTGAACTTGAGATCCTCCTGCCTCAGCCTGCTTAATAGCTAGGATCAACACATCTAGTTACTCTACTTCGCCATTAAGTGTCCATTTGGGTGGAGCTGGGGCAGCTGGGGGAAGTGAGCTGGATGGTGAGGGCGGAGCACACGACCGGCGCTTTACCTGTGCCTTGGCCAGGGACAGCTTGGAGACGTCGCCTGTGGATAAGGAGATGCGCCTCTCCCTGTGGGGTCACAGAAACAAGCCGATCACCCATGGGGCGAGGCAGCAAGGGCCGCACGTGGGTGCCCCCCCAAGCAACCAGGGACGCCTGGAGGGAGAGGCGGGAGGCGGCTCGGCACCCTACCCGGCCGCTGACCGTCTGTCATCAGCTCCGCCTCCACACGTCTTGTCCACAGACCCACTACCTTCACTGCCTACGTCTGTCTGTGACCACATCTCCGCTTCACCCGCGGACACCTTCTCCGCCGCGGCTCCGCCTGCACCTGTCGCCTCCTGCCCCTCAGCCACCCTCTGACTGGCCATCCATCCACCAGTGCCCAGCGCAGAATCCTGCCTCCCGCGAGTGGCTCTGTCTGTCCATCTGTCGTCTGTCTGCCTTCCATGCACATGCCAGCACTAGGGGTCTCCAGCACCCCACCCGCCGCCGGCCCGTCTCCGCACCAGCCTGCACCACTGTACCGCCCGCCGCTCCCATGCCCGCTCGGCCGCCGCTCCCGTCTGCACCCCTCCAGCTGCACATTGCTCTGCCCCCCCCCTCACCCGGCATTACGTCCTCCCTCCGCCTGTCCACCTGCCCCCGTCCCAGCCTGTCTACCCTGCTAGTGCTGCAGGGGAGGCCAGGAAAGCGCCATGCAACCAGCCCTCAGGTGGCGCCAGCACCAGCGCCAGCCCTGGCCCTCCGCCCGCCAGCAGGAGGGAAGATACACCTCCGGAGCCTGAGCTGCTGCCCTCGGCTCAGGCAGGGGCAGCAGAAGCAGTCCTTTCCCTACGGTCCGGGAAGACCAGCCGGGTGCCCCACTAACTCAGGAGGGGGCTGAAGGCAGAGGGCAAGGTGGGGACTGTGACCTGTGCCGTGCCCAAGGCCCGGCTGCCCCAGGAGCACAGCCCGGGGGCTCCCTCCACTGGGTGACCCCATGGCTCCGTGCAGCTGCAGGGGGCTTACTCTGTGGGGGTGAGGGCCGCCTCCGCAGCCCGGTGCTTGTCGCTGAGGTCTAGGGACTGGCTCAGCGTGGCGCCGGCAGTGGTCCCCAGCTTGCGGCCACGCCACTGCTCCACGGCAATGGCCAGCCGCTCGGCCTCGGGGGGCTGGTACCGCTGGATCTGGGCCGCGGCCCCGGGGCTGTCGGCCTGCCTGTTCTTGTCCTTGGGGACCGCGTCCAGGGCCAGGCTGGTGGGCCGCTGCACAGGGCCGGGCCCCTGGTCCTGGTCACTGTCGCTGGCGACCGCGGCGGCTGCCTGGGGCAGCACTGCAGGGGGTGCCATGGGCTCAGCGCCGGGACGCACATCCTCGTCCCTGCGCTCCTCGCGGGACGCCTGCATGTGCCGGTTCTGCAGCTCCACGTGCTCCAGGCCTCGCTGGCGCCGGGACTCGCGCTTCTCCCGGCTGCTGGCCACCTTCTCGGGACCCTCGCCCACCGCCACCGCCGCAGCCGTGCTCCCGGGGGCTGAGAGCCCCTTCGCGAGGCCTCGGGCCTCCTCCTCCGCTGCTGACCCATCTTCAGGCTGTGCCTCGGGCCTTGGCGCTGGGTGCTCACTGTCCCCAGTGGTCTCCACATCCTGCCCGGCCACCTGCTCCTCGGTGGCCTCCCGGCCTTGCCCAGCTCCTACGTCCTGCATCCCTGTGACCTCCAGGGCCTCTCTCGGCCGCTCGTCCTCCTTCTGCTTCTCTGCAAGCATCTGGCTGAAGCTGCACGGGGACAGTGAGGGTCACATCAGACACAGCCGTGGGGGCTGTGAGCTCCGCGGCCCACACCCACCCCACCCCCGCCTCTGGCCGCTCTGGGTCCCCTTCTGCCTGGTGCCTGCAGAATCCCTCATGGAGTCACAGCTCCACCACAGGGCACGGGCAGTGCGGGCTCACAGCATGACCGTGCCCTAGCTGGGTGTGCACTGCCCTTGCAGGGCCTGCTACTGGGCAGCTTCTCTCAGGAATCCTCAAGTCTCATTCGGGTTTGCTCTTCTGCAGTACTGGAGACTACACAGGGTTGTTTTACTGAGCTACATTTTGAGACAAGGTCTTGTGAAGTTACCCAAGTTGGTTTTGACTTTGTGACCCTCCTGCCTCAGCCTCCTGAGTGTGAGGTTTACAGGTCTAGGGTGTGCTGGGCTCTGCCCAGGAAGAGGTTCCTCCAGGAGGCCTTGCACAGGGGGTACTGGCTAACAGGGACTCCTGCGCCAGGAGCCAAGTTCCCAATTGAGGCGGGGCTGGTCTTGGGGACATGGGCATGGAGCCATTGAGTCCTGCTGTGCGGGCACTGCCTAGAGGCCACCCAGGCACTACAGTGGAGTGAGGAGCAGCCCCTGCGCCGACCCGGAACGCGGTGTGCCCTGGAGCCAGCCGGGCAGGGCCAGGTGGTGACCTCAGGCTGCCCAACAAGCTGGGAGCATCTTGAGGGAGCCCCACGCACCCCAGCAGGCAGCGCGCGGTCGCTTACCTCTGGCGCTGCAGGTGGCCACGGCACAGGCTCTGCAGGCGGATGATGCTCTGGCGCTGGCAGCGATAGGCCTTGCACTGCCGGTAGCCCCTCCATGCGGCCTGCAGGCACACGGCAGCCCGCGTCCTGGCCAGCGCCCGCCGCGCGCGGTAGGAACGCCAGCAGGCCTGGATGGCCACGGCGGCGCGGCGCGCCTGCAGGAAGTGGCGGCGCTCCAGCACCGCACGGAACCAGCTCTGCAGCAGCAGGATCTTACGCACAACCTCGCGGTGCAGCGTCTCCTGCAGGGCCTGGCGCTCCGTCTCCTTCAGGAACACCTGCGGCGGGGGGGAGCGGCTCGGCACTGACCGATGGGGGCTGCTGGGTGACTTTTCGGTGACACTGGGGACTGAACCCAGGACCTTCACACTGAGCTCCATTCCAGTCTTTTAAAAATATTTTGAGACTGGATCTTACTAAATCACTAAGTTGCCCAGGCTGGACTAAGCTTGCGGCTCTCCTGCCTCAGCCTCCCACAGTGCTGGGGTCACAGGTATGCATCACTGCACTCCGGCTTCCTGTCTTGCCTGTGCGCTTTCTCCCCTACTACTGCCACAGGAGGTCCCACCAGGGGAGCACAAGGGGTGCTCAGCTCAGAGGTCCCAGCTCCGGACTTCCAGAACTGTGGGCTCCACGAACCTTTCTGTGTAAGGTTTAGAAAAGCAACAGGAAACGGCAGAACCCGCTGTGAAGCCTCGGCACGCGTGCGGCCCCTGCCGCTCCCTGGCTGGGCCGGCAGAGGGGCGCCGAGGCCCGCTGGGCTTGCACAGCAGCGTGCGGGGCTGAGGGCGGCGGCAGACCTTGGTCTTCCCAATCTGGTAGCTCCTCTTGTCCACACGCATCTTCTCCAGCAGCGCTGAGATGACCTCGCGGCAGGGCTGGGCGTCCTTGGGCAGCAGCACCTGGAACTGCTCCGTGAAGTCCTGGGACGGAGGAGACCTGCTGTCTGGCCAAGCTGACTTTCTGCTTAGCTTCTGAGGTGCTGGTCATGGAACCCACAGCCTCTGCACGCTGCACAAGCTCACACCACAGAAGCTGGGCCCAGCCCTTGATAAGCTGCCCAGGCTGGGCTTGAACTTGCGATCTTCCTGCCTCAGCCTCCTGAATAGCTCTCCGAGCCCCGCGTCTCTGCCCACCCACCTGGAAGGTGTACTTGGCGCTGTAGCCGGAGCGGCGGATGCGCACAGTCTCCAGCATCCCTGTGTAGCGCAGCTGCTGCAGGACCAGCTCGTCGTCGAAGCACAGCTCCTTCTGAAAGGCCACGGTGCTGTCAGGGTCGGGCCTCGGCCGCCCCAGACCTGGGGGCTCCGGCGGGCCGGAGCAGCTCAGAGGCTCTTGTCTGTCACTGCTCATGGCTTTTATTTTTTGCCACGAGGACTCACTGGCAACAGGCCCTGCACTGTAACCTGGGCTGCGCCTGTCCCGCCCAGGCCTAGGGTGGGCGCTGAGGTCTGAGCAGTTGGAGACAAAGCCCGACACCTATGTCACCTCTGAAAGCTGACCCAGGACAGGAGGACGAAGAGGCAGCCCAGGGCCAGCAAGGCCCAGCTGACATGGCTACCTCAGGACCCCGGCAGAGGGTGGTGATGGGCGAGGCCAGGGCACTGCTGATGCCCACAGCACCCAGCCTAGCAAGCAGGGTCTGGAGAGGAGGGGCTGGGACAGGGACATGCACATGGGCAGGGACAGGGATAGGGAGCAGATCGGCTCCCAAGAGGCTTTTGCCCAGGTGTCCTCTCGGGAGGTCCTGAGCCCGAGGTGGCCCCGCAGAGCCCCCAGCTGTCTTCCTGGGGACAGGGTGGGCCCCGGGACAGTCTGAGGCTGGGCCCTCTGGCTCAGGTCCCCTCGCCGGGCCCGGCCCCGCCCCCTGGAGGTGCCACATACAGGTGGCCCTCGTGCTCACCTTGGCGGCGTTGGAGCGGATGCAGCGGATGAAGAAGGGCTCAGCCTTGCCCAGGGTCTCAAGCAGCTTGCTCAGGGACGTCTGGGACAGGAAAGCCATGCTGCTCCAGGGGCCACAGGGCAGGGCCCCTGTGTCACGGCGTGGGGAGGGGAGCCCCCAAGGGAGAGCTTCAGGGCCACGCAGTGGTGTGCCCAGGGGGTGCAGACGGCCAGACTCTTGGATACACAGGGCCCCTGGTGGTGGTGGTTCTGGCCCCGCCTGCTCTTTTGCTTTTAGCACTGGGGATGGAACCTGGGGCTCACACGTGCCAGGCAAGTGCTCACCACTGCTGGCCTGTTGCTTTCAAAAAGGCTCTGCAAAGAGCAGGTGTGGCTCGGTGGTGGAGTTCGTGCCCAGCGTGCGTGAGGACAGGGCCCCACAGGAGGGCGCCGTCAGGGGAGCAGCAGTGGATGAGAAGGCTCAGAATTACAGGGAAGCTAACAGTGAGGCATGGCAGCTTGGACTCCTTGCCAGGAATCTCTTCCCTGAGCTTCCTGGCAGCCAGGGCAGAAAGAAAAACCTGCTGCTGGGATGGGGTTGGAGATGCAGGAGGGCCTCACAGGTCTCCCAGCTCGGGGCAGATGCAGACGCGTAGGAGCGGAGGGGCTGCGCTGCGGGTGGGTGTGGGCAGTGCCCACGCACTGGTGCCCACCTGGAACTGGGCGCTGATGCTTGGAGGCTTCTTCTTTTTGTGCAGGTGCAGCAGGGACTTGGTGGTGCGGTCATGCAGCGTCATGCTGACGATCAGCCTCAGTGACTCGCGGTCCAGCAGGTTCTAGGGCGGACATCGGGGTCTGGCCGGCTGTCTGCAGCCACGCGGCCAGCGCCAGGCAGGGCGAGGCCACTGGACCCCATACCCCTGCTGATGCAGCGGCCCTGGCCGGCCGGGGACAACTCACGGCTGCCTGGGTGCCAGAGTCTGCACACCTGCCTCCTCCTCAGGGTGCAGGCTTGGCCAGGCTGCAGCCCTTCCAGCCCAGGAGGAGCCTGCCCACCCCTGCCCATCCACAGGCTGCTCTTGGCCACACGTCGGCGCACCATCCGGGCACCGCAGGCCCAGCTCCACTGTCCTAAATCCCAATGCCCCGAAGTCAGAAGCTTTATGAGCATCCACAAGTGGAAAATTCCACAGCATGAAACGTTGTTTCATGCCAAATCATTAAAAATATCACCAGGTATGGGAACCCACACCTGTAATCTCAGCTACTTGGGAGGCTGAGGCAGGAGGATCGCTGTGAGTTCAAGGCCAGCCTGTGCTACATAGCGAGATCCTGTCTCAAAAAACCAAAAGGACAAAAAAAAAACAAAACCAGAGAAAGAAAAAGAAAAAAAAAACCCAACATCCCACAAACAACCCCCAACAAAAACCAGAGCATCACTGAGTGTCACCGGTGGTCACCTCTGGGTTACGTGTGTAAGCGGCACCCCAACAAGCAAGTGTCATGTTAGATCCAAGCCCCGGACGCTGTGTGTGCCTGCAGAGCTGCCCTGTGTGCTGGGCAGGAACTCAGGGCTCTGCACTCAGCTAAGCCCCGGTTCTTTTTTTTTTTTTTTTTTTTTTTTTTAATTTCTTGGTGTTCTGAGACAGGGTCTTGCTGTGCAGTTGAGGCTGGCCTTGAATTCATAATCCTCCTGCCTCAGCCTCCCAGAGTGCTAGATGATAGGTGTGGACCACCACAACCAGCTCAAAATGTTAAAGCAACAGAAACTCTAAACTGGGGATGCTTCTGGATCCAAGAAGTTTGGATAAGGAACACTCAACCTGTATTCAGAAATATGCATCCAGCCAGGCCTGGTGGCGCACGACTGTCATCCCAGCACTTGGGAAGCAGAGGCAGGAGGATCGCCGCAAGTTTGCGGACAGCCTGGGCTACATAGTGAGAGACTGTCTCAAAAACTGGAAACAAAAACAAAACGAAGGACAGACCCCAGCATGTGCCCTGAGCATGTGCCTTACGTTCCCCTGCAACGCCTCGGGACTACACCGTCCCAGGGCTCACACCTGCCACGTGTCCTGCGTCACCCCGAGCGGACACCAGGTGCTCGGAGCATGTGCACAGTGCGACTGCCACTCAGACTATCGGCGCTGCCCGCGCAGCCCTCCCAGACCCCTCGGTGTGCAGATGCTTGGCTTGGCCGACTCCTGCAGCCCTCTCCTGGGGCTCTCTCCAGGGTTGGGCACCAAGCCGGCCCAGCACCACTGTGCAGAGGGGGCAAAGGAGGGAAAACAGGGACAGAGAGAAGCCCCCGAGAGACAGCGCGTCCCTTCCCGGCCACCCCGTGTCCCGACACCGCCGGGAGCCAGGCAGGGACGAAGCAGACAGCTGTGAGGGCATCGCGCGGGCTTTACCTTGGGAATGGTCTGCTTTTGTTTGATACCTTTACTCTTCCTGTCAAAATATTAAAAATGGTTTTGTGAACAAGGGGAACACACGGGTGGGGTGGGTTAGTTCAGCAAGCCACGCCCTGCGGGTTAGACGCAGAGAAAGAGAGGGACAGCGAGGGGAGGCACGTGACAGGACAGATGGTGCCAGCACGACGCCGGCTCCCGCCTGTACCCGGCCCTCTGCATGGTCGCCCTAAGGGCATGGGGAGGAGGATCGCAAGTTCCTGCCCAGCCTGGGCCACTCAGTGAGACCCTGACTCAAGATAAAAAAATGAAACGAGCCAGGGATGTAGCTCAGTGGCAAGCCCTGGCTTCCACCCCAGTACTGCAAAACAGAGCGGAACTCTCCACAGCAGCTCTGCGGTGGTACAGCGCTGGGCTCTGCTGCTGGTGTCCCAAGTGTCGGCGGCAGGACAGAGGTGCTGGTGACGGGGTCACCCGGCTGGCTACGCTGCGCCCACCTGGTGCTAGGTCAGCATGACATGGGTTGGGGGATTGACCCGGTGCTGGGGGGTGCAGCTGGGCACACAGATCGCTCAGTGCCACGGCAGAGGCGGGTTGGGCACGGTCAGGGGCTTTAAGGCCCCCCAAGCGCGGCCGCGCAAGGACGAAGCCAGAGGCTGCACGCGAGCGTCGCAGCGGCCCGGCCAGCGGGTCCGGAAGCAGCAGGGACTCACAGCACGCAGGGACGTGGCCGCTGGAGCTGGCCGAGGGACTGGAGCAGCCTGCGGGGGTCCTCGCCCTGCCAGGGCAGGCCCTTGATGCTCTCGATCATCTGGTGGTGCAGCTCGCTGAGGCAGAGGGGACCACGACAGAGGACAGTCAGAGCCAGGGCCACCGTCCTGGGCCCCGGCCACTGCTGCCCACCCCGGAGGGAGCAGGTCCGGAGGGACAGCCACAGACGGGCACGGCGGCCTCGTGGGCTGTGGAAAAGCACCCAAGTCCAGGGCCTCCTGGGGCATGGAAGGCGGCCGGGGGCCCATGGCCGTAGTCCGGGGACACCAGTGGTCATCAGGAGCCGGGGCCCCTGCTGGCCACAGGTGGGTGGGGCAGGGAGCTGCTCAGCACCCACGGGTCCCTGCTGCGGAGGCACAGTCCAGAGTCACAGCTACGGAGCCTCATCACAGGGACGGCAGCCCGGAGCACGCGCTGCCGGCCACCGTGAGGCCGTGCTAGTGGCCTGTTTCTGGCGGAGCCGGGCACAGAAGCTGGTGTCACATGGATGCAGGGCGCGGGCTCCCTGTGGAGCCCTACCCTGTGAGCCAAGATGCGTGCCTTCCCTCGGGCAGGTGCCCCGAGGGTCCTGACTGCTGGGCTCTGTCCTGCACGCCATGCTGTGGACCCGCAGGCCACATTCACCTTGGCTCCATGCTCTGGGGCGGGCGGCAGGCCACAAGGGTGCAGAGTCCCCTTTGCCCTGCCTCCAGGAGCTGCTGGCTGGCCCTGCCTGCCCAGCCTGCTCGAGAGTCATCTCTCCCTTCCTCCCTCCTTCCCTCCCTTCCTTCCTTCGTTTTGAGACTGAGACCTGCTGTGTTCCCAGGCTGGCTGCGTAACTCCTGGACTCGAGCAATCCTCCTGCCTCAGCCTCCATGTAGCTGGACCACAGATGCACACCACACCACAGCTCCCCAGGGCGCCCCTTCTCAGAACAGCCCACCTGGCTCTCGGGCACCCCCACCCTGCTCTGCCCACCCCACACGCCGGCCCGGGCCCCTCACGCTACATCCCCAGGCCTTTCCATTCTTTGGAAATTCTGAGGTAGGGTCTCACTGAGTGTCTAAGCTGCTCAGACTGGCCTACAACCTCCAATCCTCCTGCCTCAGTCTCCCAGAGTGCTGGGATGACAGGCTGCCCGACTGCTACCCTCTTCACCACTCGGGCAGGCGGAAGGGCTCTGGTCAGCACCAGAGACCACAAGCCCAAGACACCTCATGCGCTCGGCTGTGAGCCTGACGCTGCCTGCCCCGTGACGTGATCAGCACGGCTTCCTGTGGGAGCCAGGGCCGGGGAGCCCGGCTCCTCCACCCCTACCCAGCCGAGCCCTGCAGGACAGCCTGCTCCGCCCCACCTCCCAGCTCTGAAAAACATCCTTTGTGTGCTGGATGCCCCACACCCCCATGCCCGGGGCCACTGCACGGCCGGCTGCTGGGGGTGCACTGGGACTCACAGGGCCACCCCGACAGCCGAGCTGCGGGGCTTCCAGGCCGCGTTCCGCGGTGCCACTACCTGCTGGCTTTGCTCACCGGTAAAGTCTCTCGGATGGTGTATTAGCTTCCGAAGACAGCGCTCCTGGGGGACCCTGGGCGTCTGGGCTGCCAGGACCTGGGGGACACAGTGTGGACGCTGCTTGGCGGGGCCTCCGGAGCCTGCCAGCCTGCGCCTCCCACAGAGACTGAGATGAGTTTGCTCTGCTTTTATTTTTTGCAGGGCTGGGGTTGAAGCCAGGGCCTCACATGTGCTGGGCAGTACTCACCCCTGGGGCTGCAGCCACAGCCCTTTGGATTTTATTTTGAGATGGGGTCTTGCTAAGTGGACAGGCTGAACTCAGATTCCTCCTGCCTCAGCCTTCTGAGTAGCTATGACTACGGATCTCTACCACCATACCGGCCTCTCCCGATCATTTGTTTAACTGTTCTTCCTGCTTGTCGCGCTAGGATCAGTTTTTTCTCTCTCCCTCTGCTCTCCCTTCCAGCCAGGGCCTCACGCTGCCCGAGCTGTACCCAGGACCTTCAACTCATGTTAAAGAGCAGCTTATCACGTAGACTTGGGCCACGCACACGAACTGTGCAGTTTCACCCCCAAAATGAGCTCAATTTATTTACAACTCCTCGCAAGGCCTCTGCCCTCCGCCCCCTCACCAGCAGTGTGCCCCACAACCACCTAGGCCTCATGCTCACAGCACTGAGGGACCAGGCTCTGCCTCCAGGTACCGTGAGGGAGGGGCCACCCGAGTCCTCAGGCCCCGCCCACCGAGGATGGCCAGGACAGGAAGTGCTGGGAAACAGCACCACTGCCTGCGACACAGCTGTTCCTAGCATTGTTTCCTGAACACCACAGGACAGCGAGGCTCACGCAGCCCCACCCTGGGAGGCTCTGCGACCCCTGGAGGCTGTGGGCTGGGGGAGCAGAGGCCCTCACAGCCCTGCTGTCCGGGCTGCCCACATTCATGGCAGCGCAGCTCACAGCATCCGCATCTTGGAAGCAGCCTGTGCACCCGCCCCCAGATGCATGGAGAAAGAACTGTGCTCACACACCACGGACCTCTACTCTGCCATGAAGAAGGTTGAACTTGAGTTGTGTGTAGGAAAATGGATGCCACTTGAGACCATGACGTTAGGTGAAATAAACCACGTACAGCGTAAGTGCTGCATGGTTTCCCTTATGTGAGAAACCCAAGGGCTGAAGAGAAAGGGAGGTGGACCCTGCAGGAAGCAAGGGGCTCTGGGGAGGGGGCAGGGGCGGAGGAGTCCAAGGACCAGACTGTGCAGGGCCAGACCGGCCGCAGGGGGTGGGGCGCCCTACCTGCCGCCCTCTCCCGCCGCTCGGCCCGCAGGCGCGCAGCCTCCCGCAGCACGGCCATGGCCCGCAGGGCGGTGCGCAGCACGGCCCAGCGGAACACAGCCACGGGCTCCATGCCGATGAGCTCGCGCACGTAGGCGCTGTCGCTGCCCCGCAGCAGCGCCACGATGTCGGGCCGCATGTAGTCCATATTCTTCTCCCGGAAGTCCTGCGGGGAGGGGCGGGGTGTCACTCCTGTGCAGGCCAGCCACGGCAAGCGCAGGGGCGAGTGGCGGTGGGCAGACCACCAGCACGGAAGCCAGGGCCGCAAACCACTATGCTACGCCAGGCCTTCTTCGTTTTCACTTGCAGACAGAGCCTTGACCTTGAGACCCTCCCAGCTCAGCCTCGCGAGCAGCTCCGACGCATACCTTGATCTGGTACTTGACTCGCCCCGCGAAGTGCTGGATGATGAAGGCGGGCTCCCTGACTGGGGTGCCCAGGAAGTACTTGTTGTCCTCGTGCTGCTGCTTGAACTTGGCCAGCAGGGTCTGGCTTGTGGCGTGGGGGAAGCTGGAGTGAGAATGGGCAGCTGTGGGCGGCCGGCAGCCTGCGTTCCCTCCGGGAAGCAGGGGACAGAACTGGCCTGTGCCAAGCAGCTGGGCGATACGGGAGGGGAGGGTGCCCAGGCCGCAGGGCCGGCTCCAAGCGGAGCAGCAGGGGCTGTTGCATGGGCATCTGCAACACTCATCCCAGCATGGGATGACAGTGACAGCTTTTGACAGTAACCCCAGCCTTAGCTGGGTGTGGTGCCAGGACGATCGCTGCGGGTTTGAGGCCAGCCTGGGCTACGTAAGATCCAGCCACAAAACACCACCGAACAAACGAAAGCACCTGGCTGAGGGGCTGCTGGCGTCGGGTCTGGCAGCGCCTGGCTGCCTTGGAGGTCAGGCCCTGCGCCCCGGAGGAAGGAGAGGGCGGCGGCCGGGCAGGGGCCTCTTGCACCCAGTTGCTCCTGCCCCTGGGAGGGAATGGCTGCTGTGGCTTTGGCACTCGCGCCAGGTGTGCCCGAGTGCTGGCCCCAGGTGGGTGCAGGGTCAAAGCCACGGGCACACCATCCGGCTGCGAGGGGTCACTGTGGCGTCGGGTACCAACAGCACTCAGGTGTTGAGACAAATAACCCTGCAGCAGGCGCTCTAGAAAATCTGGGTGTGCGGAGACCACCGCCACAGGGACCCCGAGCCCACGGCCTCCACGCCAGGCCGTCGCCGCCTCCCAGCACCCCATCCTCCTCGTGTCTCAGTGTCCTCCCCCGCCTGCCACAGAAGAGGGGGGGACGCGTCTGTCCCTGTCTTGGGTGGGATCTGCGCTGTGCCTGGCTCACTTGGACCCCTTCCCGGCCCATGGGGACGGCATGGATGAAGGAGCAGGCGCTGACACATGTGAGCGCACAGGCCAGGTGTGGTGGTGCACACACCATCTTGGCTACTCGGGAGGCTGAGGCAGGAGGATTGCAAATTCTAGACCAAGCTGGGCAACTTAGGGCTCCCTGGAACCTCTAGAGCCAGAACAGACAGGAGCGACTCTCCAGTAGCTCTGGGAAGAGCCCGGCCTGCCTGAAGTCTTGCTCCTGACATGCAGCACACACACACTTTGTAAGTGGCCCAAGACAATGTCTCTCCACTCAGAAAAACGGGAGAGGAAAAACACACCAACACCAGGCTGCAAACTGCGTGGCCTGCTCAGGGCTCGGTCAGGCCTGTGGCTCTGTGGGCGAGGACTGGGACCTTCAGGGGGCGGGGCTGGGGGGGCAGGCCTCGGGTGTGGCCCCTGGCCCTTTACGTCCCTTCCTCTTTGCTTGCCCTGGCTGTGCCTGGCCCTGTGCCCCGCCGGCATTGTCACCCCAATGCCTCCCTGGCCTACCCAGGCCGACCTGGCGGTGCGCTTCCCCGACCCCACTGCAGGGAATGCGCCAGCGCTCCTGGCCCCCAGGCTGGCGGCCACTCACTTGCTCTCCTCGTCCAGCAGGTAGAAGAGGCCGGTGGGCTTCTTGCTGATGAGGTGGATGCAGCCCACGTTGTCTGTGTAGGCGATGTTGTGCCAGGTGATGCCCTCACCCTGGTACTCCTCCTGCGCCAGGGAAGTCAGGATTTCACTGGCAGTGCCGGGGACGGACCTGGCCCGCTGTGTGCGTGTTCACATGACACACACAGCCTGGCAACCCGAGGGCGGGTGCCGGGACCCCAAACCTGCGACGCTCGGCCCATCTGGCGGACAGCTCAGGGCTCGGAGTAGCCTTGCTTACGCGTCAGGCGCACCCCACCACACAGGGTACTTACGCTCAGCACAGTCAGCAGCTACGCTGCAGCGTTTAGGGCATAAGGAGGAGACAAAACGTGCGCGCTTCCTACACACACGTGCGTTCTCCCCCGGTCCTGGGAACTGAGCCCTGGAAGCACGAAGCTGCACCTTCAGCCTGTTTTCATTTTACTTTGAGACAGGGATGCATGAAGCTGCCCAGGTTGGATTTGAACATGCAATCCTCCTGCCTCAGCCTCCCAGAGTTCCAGGTTGACAGGAGTGCGTCACCAGGCCAGGACTGTGATTGCGTTTTGGAATATTTTTGTTTCAAAGTTGGCCAAAACTGTAGGTACAGAACCACAGGAATGCAGAGCGGACCACTGACTGGAAGCACAGATACACAAACAAAAATATACTAACACGCCAGCGTGAGGGTAACCAACTATGTGAAGCTGCTGGAGTCACTGATTATCACCAGGAAAGAGTGCCTGGTCTCACATGTTAATCATGGCCAGGATGTTTTTTCTTTTCTTTTTTTTTTTTTTTTTTTTTGTCTTTTTGAGACAGGGTCTCACTCTGCAGTGCAGGCTGGCCTTGAGCTCACTTTGTGGCTCAGGCTGGTCTCAAATTTTCAATGATCCTCCTGTCTCAGCCTCCCAGGTGCTGGGATTACAGGCATGCGCCACCACACCCGGTGGCCTGGATGTTCTGTTTACGTGCAAAGGCACCCAGGGTCAGTACCTACTCCCCACTTGGGGCCAGAGAGCTCTTTAGGAGCCAGACCTGGAAAGGTACCCAGGGGAAACATGGAGGGATCAAAAATACGGCTATGGCTCACACCAGCTGTTAGGAAAATGCGGCTGTGCGATGATAAGCTGCTCTCAGGGCACTGCACTGGGTCCCGAAGGCCACCCTGGAACCCTCGGTGGGCTGCTGCAGGCCCGCCTGGCCCTGCCTGGCCAGAGTCCTGTCCTGCCGGTCCTCTCATTCAGACGCCTGCGGAGATGGGCGCCACCCAGGGGACTCTCTCGAGAGCCAGAGGACATGGCCTAGGCTCCAGCCTTCGAGACTGGGGCACTAACCCTCGAGGTGGTGTTGCGGCGTGGCCGGCAGGGGCTTCTGCTCCAGTGACAGAAGACAGCATCCATGCCACCCACTGCGGGGGGCAAAGCCCGGACACTGCCACGGCCCAGCCTGCGTCTCACTCCTCCCTACACCGACCAGCCGCCTTCCGTGAGCCCTGGGGCCGAAGGCTTGGCAGGAATTAGCTAAATATTTACAGAAATCCCTGGGACGCCCCCAGCTGCCCATGAGAAGGAGAGTATCTGAGGACACAAACCACGGTCACTGACCACCGCAAACCCTTTCTGGAAAGGCCGGGCAGACCAAGTTTAAAAGCGACCTGAGGCTCACAACAGCCTCACATTTTCCTCATCCTGGGGCTGGGTGGGATTTTTGTCAAGTTTCCCTCCGGCAGAGAATTCTGGGTCAGGGGTCCTGGGCCTCCAGGGAGATTCTGGACGAGCTTTTCCCACTTCCCCTCAGGTCAGTGGCAACAATGCATGCTGGGACCGGAGGATTCAGCACTTTCGGGTACATCTCCAGCCCTTTTAAAACTTTTTAAATTTTGGGACAGGGTCTCACTAAGTTGCTGAGTTGCCCAGACTGATTTGCTAAGTTGCTTGGCCAGACTGGGCTCGAACTTGCCACTCTCCTGCCTCAGCCTCCCGGAGTGTATAGATCACAGGTGTGCGCCCCCACACCCAGGTCCCAGGCCTTTCTAAATTTTATTATTTGGAGACAGGGTTGTCACTGAGCGGCCCCGCTTGACCTTGAACCTGTGATCCTCCCGCCTCCGCCACCTGAACCCTCGTGCCACTGGAAGCAGGCGTCTTGGGAGAGACCTGCGTCCACGCGGGAGCAGCACTATACACGGGCCAGCTGCAGAAGCCCCTGCGCGTCCCCCCACGAACGGCTGGGCAGAGTGAGGCCCGCCGGACGCAGCTCAGGCCTAGAAAGGGAGGGCAGCCCCAGAGGCTGTAGCCCGTCTGGGGACAGCCCGACAGGACCTGCTTATGGGTCCGGGGACAGACAGCGGGCGGGCAGGGGCAGAGTCGCTGGCCTGGCCCTGGCGGTGGCCATCGTGGCCCAGGCGCCACCCCAGCTCTGTGTGCAGGCAGGGTCCGCACAGCTGCTGGCCGCCCAGACGGACACGCCGGTCCTCCTGGTCCCTGTCCCGCAGGGCGGCGGCAGCAAAGCACACCGCGCTCACCCTGGGCCAGGCTGAGAGGCGCAGCGGGGCGCACAGCGGGCTGCACAGGGCCAATGGCAGCCGGGCCCCGCCCCGCCCCGCCCCGCCCCTGCGCACCTGCTCCAGCTTGAAGATGTGCTGGTTGAAGTAGTACTGCAGCTGCTCGTTGGCGTAGTTGATGCAGAACTGCTCGAAGCTGTTCCGCTCAAAGTCCTCAAAGCCGAAGATGTCGAGGACCCCGATGGACAGGCACTGGGTGACAGAGGGTGGCTGTCATGCAGGGCCCCTGCAGGAGCTGGCCTTCCCAAGTGGGGCCGCGTCGCGGCATGGGCCTGGCAGCACGGGGCCTGGGCTTGCTGGACACTCTACCGTCACTAGCTTCCATCCCTCGCTCATAGGGCTTTGTATTTTTTCTACTGAATACTGAGGACTGTGGGACCTCCGCACTGGGCTATACCCCGAGCCCTCTTTATTTTTTGAGATACAGTCTCACTGAGTTGCCCAGGCTGGGCCTGAACTTGGGATCCTCTTGCCTCAGCCTCCCAGAGTGCTGGAGCGACAGCTGTGTACCTCCACATTCAGCTGCAACCGCCAGTTTTCAGTAAGAGGGCTTGTCTGTTTGTTTTCAGCAGGTGCTGGGGGGGTCCTGCAAGCTAGGCTGCACTGCTGAGCTACACCCCAGCCCGGAGGCCCATTTCATTCTGCACTGGATCCCAGGAGTCACAGGCCCTGCCCGCTCACGGGGTCGGCCCGGAGGGTGACTGAGACCCCAGGGCCGAGGGTGCGGCACGTGGGGCACGGCGGGCGCCGCGCAGACACTCACGGAGACGGCCTCTTCCACGTCCTTCTTGTTGAGGAGCGCGTGGTTGATCCGCAGCACGATCCAGTCGAACAGGGCACTGTACAGGGACTTGGCCATGGAGTCGCGTGCGGTGACGGCCTGGGGACAGAGGGCGCTTGCTCAGGCTGTGTGTGAGCCAGTGCGGCTGTTCTCTTGTCCTAGTTTTGGAACCAGGCCTTGTTATGCTTCCCAGGCCAGCCTCAAACTCCCAGGCTCAAGAGCTCGTCCTGCCTCAGCTTCCTGAGCAGCCAGGGTAACAAAATTATCCCACTGTGTCTGGTTTCTTCTTCATTTAAAAACAAACCCTTGTTTTTGTATTTATTTTTTGTTTTTTATGAATTTAAGTACTTTGCTCTTTCTCTCCTTGTCTTTCGGGTGGCTGCTTCGAACAGGATGGACGCCTCCTGCCCTTTTCCCCAGTGCCTGGGACAGCACCCGGGGACTACACCATGGAGCTGCACCCTGTGCTTTTAAATTTTTATCCTCAGACAAGGCCTTACTGAGTGCCTTGGGCTGGGGCTGCACTTGTGATCCTCCTGCCTCGGCCCCCCGAGGAGCTGGGATGGCAGGTGTGCTCACCACAGCCGGCTTTCCGAGCCTGCTCCTCTGCAGAGCTGGGACGGAAGCCAGCACCCTGCGTGCAGCAGGCCAGCCCTCACTGTACTCTGGCATGCCTCTTCCGAGAGTGCCCCCGTGTAGCCACCCCACCCCCGAGACCCACCATGCCCACTACACACGCGCATGCAGCAGCCGCTCTGCCGCCCAGGCTGTCCAGGAAGCCTGTGGGAAATGCCACACAGCTTCCCTGGGCAGAGGCCCGGCCACCAAAACGTCCCCCTCGGCCCGGTTTTTGGCCTGGCCGCAGGTGCTGCGGGATGGCAGGAGACAGGGGGCCTGGAGAGGGCAGAAGCCCCTCTGTGGCGCAGGCGCAGCCCCAGGCAGGCGCACTCTGGGCGAGGCTCAGGAGCCAGTGTCCTCGCTTTTCGGGCCTGAAGGGCTTCGTTGGGACCACAGGGTTCTGCTAGCGAGGCCAGAGAGCAGCACGGGTCACCATGCGAGTGGATGGGCATGGCCGCGAGCGCGTCAAACCATCTACACGAAGGGGGAGACGCACGCTCATCTCCACGGCAGCCTGCCCAGCCATCCCCGAGGCTCTCAAAGGGCTGGGTGGGAAACTGCAGAAACGCACAATTCGGAAGGTGAAGCCAGGTCCACCGTCGGAGACGTGAGCTGCGCCTCTGCCCACCCGTCACCCACGTGGCTCCGCCAGCAGCCTCGGTTGCCAGGGCACAGCCAGGCAGGACAGTGGCGACACCTCCGAGGGACAAGGAGCCCCGACAAGAGGGCGTTTCGTGGACCCCGCATCTGCGGGACGTCTATCGCAGTACACCGCCATAATCGTCCTTTTTTATTCGTAATTATTGGGGCTGGTTAACCTACACACTAAGTTCTAGTGTATAACTTTTAAGTATAACTTACACACTTTTGTCGTGGTTAACTTATACACTAAGTTCTATCACAAGTATGCACAAGCGTGGTCAAAATATAAGCGAACGTTTCCGTCTTAGAACTGCAGTACAGTGAAGACGCCGCTAGGCGTGCCTCTCAGTGCGCTCGCCCTCGCTGCTTTCCCGGCAGGGCAGCTCCGGGTCCTCCCCCAAGGGTCGGCACTGCACTGGGCCTGAGCCAAAGGACAGGGACCGCTGCTGCCGAGCGCCCCCAGTGGAAAGGAAGCTCGCAACGCAGGATGCTGCGCCCTCAGCCGCACCGTCACCAGCTCCTCCCCAGTCACAGCGACCAGGAAGGGAGACACTCTGAGTCCATTCTGGACACGAGGCAGCCGGGACAGCGCAGCAGAGGACCCTGGGGAGAGAGGACTCCAGAGCCGCTGCGCTGCAGGAAGCAGCCGGGAGGCTGGATGAGTGTGTTCCAAGTGTGCTGATAACTGTAATAAACCTACAGTAATGAAACTTAGCACTCCATGTGTTTTTCTATCTCAGAGGTGTTTTTTTTTTTGTCTTTTTTAGACAGGGTCTCACTGTGCAGTTCAGGCTGGCCTTGAGCTCACTTTGTAACCCAGGCTGGTCTCGAACTTGCAAGGATCCTCCTGCCTCAGCCTCCCAAGTGCTCGGATTACAGGTGTGCACTGCCATGCCCAGCCTATCTCAGTGTTTATCCATGGGGACAAACACCTTTGTCCCTGCAGTGGCTCCAGGCACCCACCGGGGGTCCTGAGCAAAACCAGCCTGGGCCAGCGGCACTCACCTCACTGAGGCTGTAGGGCAGGATGAGCTTGTCATTGGCGGTCACTGTTTTTCTTTTGGTCAGGACCTCCACCAGGATCTCTCGCTTCACCTGCAGTGAGGTCAAGATCAAGGTCACGGAGAATGGGCCGATTGGGAGGCGGGGCCCAGCGTCCAGGCTGCTGAATGCACGTGCCCCTGCCACAGTGCCTGGTCCCTGCTGCCTGGCCCACAGGCCGGCCCGGGACTCAGGACCCCTGCCCAGGCAGCGCCCTGGATGTGTGGAGCCACCAGTTCCCGGCCTGTGGGGAGGGTCCAGGCTTGGGCTTCACTGAGACCCCCTCAGAGCCCACCCTAAGCCAACTCCGAGGTCAGCAGCAGGAATGGGGTGGGTGGGGGTCCCCTAACCTTCCCCGAGCACCCACGCAACCTAGGGTCTCAACAGAAGCTGCAGACCGAGCACATCTCCTTTGAACAAGGCTGCAGGTCAGGTGCAGTGCTGCATGCCTATAATCCCAGCTACTGGGCAGGCTGAGGCAGGATGATCCCAAGTTCAAACTCAGCTCTGGAGACCTAGAGAGATGCCGTCTCAAAACAAAAAAGGGCTGGGGAGCTCGCTCAGTGCTAGACCCCGGGCCCAATCTCCAGTACTCAGAAAACAAAACAGAAAAGAGAACCATGCAGCCCACAGGAGTCGGCCCTGGGCTGGGCTGTTCTGCCATGGGGAACCCTCCTGGGCAACACAGGGCACTGAGTAGCACCCCAACCAGCACCCCACCCACCTGCCAGCCGTAGACCATCCAGTGACACAGTCATACTCAGACGCTGCCCCGAGCACTGAGTGCAGAGCTGCCGCAGTGGAGAACAGGAAGGAGACCCAGGTCCCCAGAGAACGACCTGGCCAATCAAACTGCACTGCTGCTATTTGTCCAGGTTGGCCTCTAAGTGTTGGGCCCAAGGGATCCTCCTACCTCAGCCTCCCAAGGAACCGGGACTACAGACACCTGGCCAAACTGTGGTTTTTTGGTGTGTGTGTGGCTTTTTGAGACACGGTCTCGCCATGCAGCCCAGGCTGGCCTCGAGCTTGTGGCAATCCTCCTGCCTCACCCTCCCGAGTGCTGGGATGACAGGCACGAGCCACCACACCCAGCTTTGCAAGACGTTTCACCTGGAGCGTGCAGTGGGCGGTGGCACTGGCTGGGCAGTGGGTCAGAGATGAGAAGGGAGCTTGCCCCAAGGGCAGGAGAGGGCTGCCGGCCACCCCAGGGGAGGGCGTGCGGCGCCTGTCCCTGCTTCGGCAGGGTGGTGGCGTGCGTGTCCGTGTGCGTGCTACGTGGTACCTTGAGGAGCTGCGACAGGGTGTCCAGCACCTCAGCCGGCCCGACCTCCAGGCCCTCGTCGCGGCCCGTGGGCCTCTTCTTGTAGGTGACGTTGCCCAGGTACAGGATGGCGGACAGCATGGAGAAGATCCTGTGGGCCAGGCACGGCGGTCGAGGGGCGCCCTGCGGGACAGGGTCGGCCCCCGCCTCCGCCCAGGAGTTAACTTCCGCGCTTGGCTGGGGTGGGGGCCGGGCCACACCGGCGCTACACGCGTGCCCAACTGCCCACCACATGCCTGGTCCCTGGCTCGGTTTTAAAGAGAATCCAGGGACCAAACCCTGGGCCTAGCCCATGCTAGGCAAGGGGGAGCACAGGCACACACTGTTAGCACTGAAATTACTATTATTCTTTTTCGTTTTTTTTTGGTACTGGGACTCTAATCCCAGACCTTGCACTTGCCAGGCAGGTACTGCGCTGCTGAGCTAAATCCCCAGCCCTAAAATTATCTTTTGGTGTTTTTGAGACAGGGCTTTGCTTTGTAGAACTCGCTGCAATCCTCTTGCCTCAGCCTCCCAAGCGCTGGGATGGACAGGTGTGCAGCATTATGCCTGGCTTAAAATCAATTTTTTTCAGAAAAAGAACATGTATACACATTGTACCCATCAATCAAAGCATTGCACTGCACCCCCTAATATGTGCAATGCAATGTGTCAGAAAACTCAGAGCCTGGTAAGGTGGTACAGGCCTGTCCACTCAGCCCTCTGGTAGGCTGAGGCAGGAGGGTTGTAAGTTCAAGTCCAACTGGACAACGCAGTGACACCCTGCTCGAAGTAAAATAAAAAGGGCCGGGGATGCAGCTCAGTGCCAAGGCCCCTGTTCCACTCCTGTGTCACACACGTACACGTACAGCACACAGTTCCCAAGCACAGAGCTTAGGGAACTGTCACAGGCGCGCAGTCCTCGGAACCGAACAGTCTGCCGCTGTGTGGCAGCCTCGTGCCAAGGCTGACTCCTGTGGGACCTGCTGTCCCGGCGGCCTCAGCCCCGATGCCTGGGGCCGATGGGCAACAGAGCCCAAGCACTGCCCCAGGCAGGGGCGCCCGCCTCCCTACCACGAAGCAACAGCCCGGGATGCCCCGCACCCCAGGCCACCACGCAGGGGGCTGTCGGTGTCCAGCCCAGGCTGAGAGCGTTTGGCAGCGTTTCCAGGGCTGTTAGGAGAAAAAATGAACCCAGGGCGGACTGCACGGCCTGCACCACCGGCCCTGTGTGGCCTTCCTGGCTCTGCACAGGTTTACTGCAGCCTCTGGTTCTGTTTGTCTTCTTTGGCACCACTAGGGGTTGAATCCAACCCTTTTTCACTTTTAGCTGGGGTCTTACTAAGTTGCCTGCAGAGACTTGAACCTGTGGTGCTCCTGCCTCAGCCTCCTGCGCAGGGGGTCTCAGCTGTGTCCCTGCGCCGGCTCATCCTAGCCCGTGCACTCTGGAGCACCGTGTGCACGTGCCTGGCTGTGAGCAGCACCGCAAGCCCAGGGCTGCCCCGTCCTGAGCTCCTGGCCCCTGCAGCAGCTCAGTGGGCACCCCGCCCAGCCTGGGTCTCAGGCCCTGGCCACTTACTGCCTCTTGGTGGCAGGGAGGAAGCCCACCATCTCCATGGCCTGCTTCAGCCGCGCGAAGTCGTGCTTCAGGTCTTCCCCGTCCTCAATCTTCAAGTTATGCTGGAAAACAGGGACGCCGGCTCCCTCACACCCTCTGGCCGAGCAGAGCTGCGTGGGGGCGGAGGTGGCCTTGTGGCCGGCCGGGCCACTTACCTGGTTGAGGTAGAAGTAATCTTCCGGCTGCTTGAGCTGGAATTCTTGGCGCTCTTCCTCGCTGACCCCAAGGAGCAGATAGTAAAACACGTGGTAGTTCCTGTGGGCCAGGCGGGGGGCTCGGCGTTAGGGGAAGAACAGCCGCCCCCGCCCCTGTGCATCTGTGGAGGCCGCGCAGGGAGGAAAGCCCTGAACGGCCCCAGCTGCGGGCGCACTGCTTCCTTATGTCGTGCAGGCCTTTATTTCACCGAGACAGCGCCCTGCTCAGTGACCCGGGCTGGCCCTAAACTTGCAATCCTGCCTCAGCCTCCCAAGGAGCGGGTGACAGGCGTGCGCCACCACACCTGGCTGATCAGAGAGGTCTCTAAGTGACCACATTTTGGGCAAACGTGGGAAAACTGGCGGTGGAGAAAATGTCAGAAAGCTGGAGGCCGAGGGAGCCAGCTCAGAGCGGGACTGGCTGGGGTGACCCTCACCCCAAGATCAGCCATGCCATCGGGAAACCCCCCCGGAGTCACCGTACCGCTCATCTTTCTCCTGAGACACCAGGCGAGACTTTTCAAGCAGGTATTTTTCCACGACAGCTCTGTCATTAAAACAAAGAAGGAAAAAATGCTTCATGGTTTACTATTTTCAACTTTCTTTTGGTCTGCACCGTGGACAGACGCCAGGGCCTCTGAGCCACATGCCTGGCCGGAACGTTCTGCCCTTCACAACAAGCTTTGCTGTTGTTGCAGTAGGGCCTCATTCTGTAATCCAGGCTGGCCCCAAACTCATGGTCTCCTGCCTCAGCCTCCCACATGCTAGGACTCCGGGTGTCACTGCCAGCCCGGCCCATGTGGTACTGGGGTGCACGGTCCGGCACTTGTGAATGTCTCTGGCACGATGACAGTCACCGTAACCACCACCTTGCCCTGCAAATAGACAATGACAGTCGTCTGGGTGGCCTCTCCCCTGGACGGTGGCAACAGGTGCGATGGCTCCCGCTGGCCCCCACACCCCAACAGGGTGCCCCCCGCTCCCGCAAGGACACTTTCTCTGGCTGCAAAGCACCAGCTGCACATGTGAGGCACACGATCTCATCACCACAGCTTTGCGGTGCCAGGGCTGGCAGCCAGGCAAGTGCTGCCCCCGGCCCAGCCGCGCCAACGGTGAACCCCGGGAACCCAGCACTGGGGCCAAGACAGCAAACACCGTCACCCCGGAGAGCGCCCCCACCCTCCTCTGCCCCGCCCCCAAGAGGCTGCGCATCGGCTCCCTGCTACTGTAGATGAGTTTCTGCTTCCAGAACCGCACGGAGACCGCAGCGCACAGCCTGCGCCGTGACCCTGAGACCGGGCTACACAGCACCGTGCTCCGGACCTCCCTGCTTTTTCACGGCCGAGCGGTAGTCCGTGGGGAGGCCGGCCTGCACTGTTCTCCACCCAGCTGCTGAGTGGGCATCTGTGCTCCCTCCGGCTTTTCGCTGTTCTCAGCACTCTGCTGTGGACACCTATGACAAGCCATGGGGGCACTTGTCGCCATTTTTCCTGCTGAGTTTTCCAGGGCAGGGGCTGGACTGGGCCCCGGAGTCACACACATGAACCCCACTCAGGGTCCATCCCTGTGCTGTGTGTGGGGGTGACAGCCCAGCACCCGTGGCGGGCACCAAGCTGTCACTGGGCAGAGGCTGTCCTTTCCCTGTCCCGACCACTTTCAAGTCCTGGGCCCCTAACACAGAGGTCTTACAAGCCCAGCAGGGTGGTGCCCGCCTGCCATACCAGCACGCTGGGAGGCTGAGGCAGGAGGGTCACAAGTTCAAGCTCAGCCTGGATGATCTAGTGACTGAGGTGACCCGGTCACCTCTGCAAATAACGAACAGAAAGGGTGGGGATGCAGCTCAGCCTGAAGGCGCAGGGGTCCGGGAAAGCAGCAGGGCTGTCAGCTCCCGGGCCCCACGCACAGCCACAGGGAGACGACGCCTCACCGACGGGGAGCAGAGACGGGCCGGCCGGCCCTGCCCCTGGCCCTTGCGGGGAGCAGCATGAGATGGCACCTGCCCCACCACAGGCAAAAGCACGACTGGCGCAGGCAGTGGGGTGGCCCCCCGACAACAATGGCCGGGACCCCCGCGCCCACTGCACGTGTGACCTGCCAGCCGTCAGGGAATGGGCCACGCGGGCTGCTGTGGCACCTGCTCCCGGAAGGCCCTGCCGATGGCCAGCGCCTCCAGGGCACACGGGACATGCCAGTGGCAGAGTGGACGTGACCAGGGGCTGCCGGGCGCTGCGTTACAGAAAAGGTAAACGCCGGGTGTGGTGGCCACGCTTGTGACCCCAGCTTCTCGGAGGCTGAGGGAGGAGGATGGCACGTCCGAGGCCAGCCGGGCGTGTGAGACCTAGCTCCTCCTTTAGAGGAGGAGGTGGAGAGGAGGACGTCTGTCCCGCACGCGCGCCACGGTCCCCATGTTTTCTGTCCACCTCGCGCTGGGCAGACGCCTGCCCCTCACTACACCCCACCCCTTTTTACTTTTTACTCTGAAACAGAGTCTAGCTAAGCTGCCTAGGCTGGCCTTGACCCTGTGTTCCTCCTGCCTCAGCCTCCTGAGGGGACAGTTTGGATTGTGAAAGTCCCCACAGGGCCACATAGTAAGGGCTTGTCCTTGATTCCTGGCAGCCCTGGGAGGTAATGGGGCTGAGAAGAGGCCCTCGAGGCCCTCTGGGGCCCTCAAAGGGGACAAGGGCCCACCCTTCCTCTTCCTGTTCCTCCCTGGCCATGAGTAAGCACTTCAGCTCTGTGAGGTGAGTCTTGGTGCGGCCGGGTTGCTCAGTGGTGAACTGGACCTCAGACAGGAGCACCAGGAGGCTGACGCAGGAAGATTACTATGAGTTTGAGGCCAGCCTGAACTACACCGTGAGATCAAAGCTAGCCTGCACTACATAGCAAGACCCTGTCTCAAAACAAACAAAGCTTTCCAGGCTCATCCACGTTGCCAAGCTTTGTTTTGTGTTTTGGTGCTGGGTATGGAGCCAGGGCCTCATGCAGCCCGGTCAGCGCCCTGCGCTGGACACCCTGATGCGTGTTTACCACCAGATACTGGGGGAGATGTTGAGGTCTGCACAGAGCAAAGGCTGGAGCCCAGAGGGAGGCCGGCAGCTCCCAGTGTCCACTAACCAGAGGCTGGCGGTGCCTGCAGCAGCGCCGAGCGGCCCCCAGGTGGCCTCGGTCCTGCAGTCACTGAGGGCCCTCACCTGTACCTCCCCACGGCCCGGCAGAGCCCGGGGCAGGAAGATGCACCCAGGCGGAGGCACCCGGGATACAAGATGGGCATCGGTCAGGCTGGGCCAGCAGGACCCGTCCTGAGACCCTGCTGGACCTGGCTCCTCTGAGGCCTCGCTCTAACCCTGACACACGTCCAGAGCCGGGCGCGGCGGCAGCAGAGCACGTGCACCAGCGTGTCAGGGCCCGGGCCCGGGCCCCACTCACCCGCGCACGATGCCGCTCTCCAGGTAGTTGACTTGGATGAACTTGCCGAAGCGGCTGGAGTTGTTGTTGTGGGCCGTCTTCGCGTTCCCAAAGGCCTGCGGGGATAGAGGTGGCATCAGATTGGTGTGGGCACTGTGCTCGGTCCCCAGGGCCACACCAGCCACGGTCTCTTCCCTGCCACGGCTGGGCTTCGGGCAAAGCTCAGGTCTAAGCTCTGTGGCTCAGAGCCAAGAGCTGGTGCTGCAGGCAGCTCGGCTTGAGGGTGGAGCCTGGGGCACAGCAGCAAGCCCCCCAACCCCACCCGCCCAGACACCCCCACACCAAGCCCCCCGACTCCCACCAAACCTCTCCCAGACACTCCTCAAACGTGAACGAACATCAACCCACAGACGGCTGACACCAACTCACCATGGGACACCTACACACCCACGGACAACCCAGTGACACACACCCCACCGCCAGCGTTCATCACGGCAGTGTCCCTCCGTGTCCACAGGGACACCCCAGGACGCACAAACAGCGTGGGGCTCACACAGAAACCCACAGGCCTGCAGACGCGGTCCCCTCCGTGACCAGGGCCCTGTGTGGCTGCCCCGCGGGAGCGCACGGGGAGGCAGGAGTGTCTCGCTTGTGCCCGAGTGTTTTCAGTTCCAGGTGGGCTCGGCCCGCTGATGTGGCGGACAAAGGGGCCGTCAGCTACCTGAGGTCACAAGCCATGAGCAAAGCCACCTGCTCCCTTGCTTTCTGCTCCTCTCTTTGTACTGTCTCTGCCTTGGACTTACTGGGTAGCTCAGGCTGGCTCTGAACTCATGGGGATCCTCCTGCCTCAGCCTCCCGAGTACTGGTTACAGGGCTGCATCACCACACTGGGCTAAAGCTCACCAGTTTCGGCTGGGATGTAGCTCAGTAGCACAGCCCCTACCTGGCAAGTGCAAGGTGCTGAGTTTGACTCCTGGTACCTCCAAAAAAAAACAAAACAGCCAGGCGTGGTGGTGCACACCCGTAATCACAGCACTCAGGTGGCTGAGGCAGGAGGATCGTTGTGAGTTCGAGACCAGCCTGGGCTACAAAGTGAGGTCAAGGCCAGCCTGAACTGCATAGCGAGACCCTGCCTCAAAAAGACCAAAAAAAAAAAAAAAAAAAAAAAAAAGCTCACCACTTTAAAGCACACGATTTAGTGCATGTGGCACATTCCCAGTGTCACGCAACACCACTTTTACTTGGTCTATAATTGCAGCCGTAAGTGGAGAGCCCAGCCCCAGGAGCCTGCCCTCCCATTCCGGCAGCCCCTAATCCACTTCCTGTCCCTGTGGTCATCTGCTCAGGGCTGGTCCTGGTAGTAAGACCACACAGCACACAGCCTGCAGTGTCTGTCACTCAGCACCATGGCGCCCAGCTTTGTCTGCATGCAGCATGTGTCAGAGCCTTGCTCCTTTTCCTGGCTGAGTAATGTTCCACACACAAAAGATTGTGTCCATTTGTCTGCCTGGGGTCACTGTGCAGGGCGGGTGTGAGTACTGCTGCGCAGGCTCTGTGTGGACATGTTCTCATCTCCAGACTCAACAGCAGGAAGTGAAAGGCAGGGTCACGCGACGACTGTGTGTCTGATGCTCTGAGGGGCCGTCAGGCCGTTTTCTAAAGAGCAGGCGCCTGGCACCCTTGCCAGCGCTGCCCGGGCTTCCTGCTCCCCACGGGCCCCAGGCCTTCCCTGCGCGGCCTTGCTCTGTGCTCTGGTTTTCTGTTCACTTCGGGATGGGAATCTCACTACGCCGCCCAGGCTGGCCTCTAACTCCTGGCTCCCAGCAGGCGTCTCAGCAGCCGGCACAGGTGTCTCCAACCACTCACACACAGAACTGTTACGTGTGCACGCGGTCTGTGTCACTGGGTCCGTGTGCAGACGCAGCTCCCCAACACCCTCACTGTGCACCCGCAGACAGTCGCCAGTCTGCAGAGACCTGAGAGGAAGACGACTTCCGTCCACAGTACTTCAGGTGAGAGGCAGTGCATCGTGAGGGGGCACTTTCTGGGGCAGGGGATTCGGTCTGAGGGGAGATTTTCTTTTAAAGTAGCGGTGCTGGGACCGACGCCAGGGCCTCCACTCTGAGCTGCAGCCCCAGCCATGTCTACGTTTTGATTCTGAGACAGAGGGGAGCTGGGCATGGTGGTACATGCCTGCAATCCCAGCACTTGTGTGGCTGAGACAGGAGGATCTCGGCAAGTTTGAGGCCAGCCTGGGATCACAGTGAGCTCAAAGCCTGAACCACATGGTGAGACCCTGTCTCAAAAAACAGAGTCAATAAAGAAAAGAAACGATAATAACATGGCGGAGGGGAGGAGGAGCCTGTGGGGGGCGCTGTGCCTGCCACGCCGCCTGTGTGGGCCCGGCCGGCCGGGCTCTGCAGCACCGAGGCCGCTGGGCCCAGTGTGGGCGCCTGCATGGCACGCGAGGCGGGGCGGATTCGGGAGCAGCAGCGAGGCTGGAGAGCAAGCGGTTCCGGGCGGTCTCGCTTCCCCGGCGGAGCTGGGCCGGACTGAGGCCTCCGGGCCTGCCCAGGTCCCCTGGGATCGGGACTCAGAGAAGTCAGCCTGGGCCGGGGCCCGGAGGGAGACAGAAGGCCAGGACTCAGGCCACCAGAGGAGGCAAGCACAGCACCCCCAGCATCCCCACAACAGGGAGAGACGGTGCCTGTCCCTGCGTGGGGTCCCTGCTGGGGGCATCTACAGCCTGCAGGGACCCCTGCCTGGGGACAGCGCACAGGGTCCCCAAAACGCGCCCCACCGCACCGAGGAGCGGCCACTGCAGGGCTGGTGCGGGGACAGCTGGGCGCAGAGCCGCGCGTGTGCCGCCTCCGGAGCCCCGTACGCTGGGCTTCCGCCCCTCCCGGGCCCCCCTGGCCGAGGGCCGAGACTCCCAGCCAGCCGGGCTGCCTCGGTGACCTCACGCGTCTGGTATGCGCTCCACACACTGGGGCTGCACAGCCGCTAAAAATATCCGGCCGCCTGCTGGGCAGTGACAGGGCCGCAGGAAACGCATGGCTGGGGAGCCGCACAGCGAGGAACAAGCAGGCCACTGGCCGGGAGGAAAGAAAGGGACCCAGGTGTCGCGGCAGCCACTGTGGGCGGGCCACTGTCCCTGCCAGAGCTCAGCCCTGGGAGCTGTGCCCCGAGGCCTCTCCACTTTCAAGGGACCTTTCCCCTCAGCCACGGCGCGAAGGCCGTGATGCTGAGACAAAGTGCACTTCAGGGGAAAAATAAAACCTCACACCCAGCTCCAGGGCATGCGCCTGCCACTCCAGCTGCCCAGGAGGCTGAGGCAGGAGGATCACAAGTTCAAGGCCAGCCTGGACAGCTTAGTGACACCCTGTCTCAACGTAAAATAAAAACAGGGCTGCCGGGTGGGGTGGCACACGCTTGTCATCCCAGCACTCAGCAGGCTGAGGCTGGAGGATTGCAACTTTGAGCTGAGCTTGGACAACTCAGTGAGCAAGCAAGAGCCTGACTCAGAATAAAGCAAAGGGCCGGAGATGCAGCTCGGTGTGAAGGTCCTGGCCACAGAGCAGACCAAGACAACTGGCTTGAGGGGAGCTCAGAGACACCGCGCCTGCACGGCAAAACCTAGGTTCAACCCTCCAGTGCCATGAAAAGCGACGAAAAACCTGTATCCATCATCCCTCCTCCTGGGTCTACCCAAAGGCATGAAGCCACATGGCGGAGGGGCGCCAACACCCCATGTTTACTGCAGCACCACAGGCAACAGCAAGAGAAGGAAGGTGGGGCTGGGGATTTAGCTCAGCGGCACAGCACCTGCTTGGCAAGCGCGAGGTCGTGAGTTTGATTACCAGTACTGGGAAAAAAAAAAAAAGGGAAAAAACAACAACAACAACAAAAAAAAAACAACAAAGGAAGGGTCCCGCCACAGATAGAGAAAGACAATGGGCACACACACGATGGAATACTATTCAGTCAGTAAGAGGCATGAGGTCCTATCATGCATGAAACCCAGACGGAACTGGGAGGACACCACGTTAAGTGCAGTAAACGAGGCATGAAAAGTCAAATGCTGCATGGCCTCACTGAGCGGTGGAAGCAGAAATATAATGAAACATATAAACGAGAGACTCAAACGCTGGTCCCCAAGGGCGGGCAGGCTGGAGTGGGAGGAGCCGGGCAAAGGGCAGAACAGCAGCAGACACAATGGAGGGAGCCGGGTGACCCGCTGTGTGCCTGGGGCCACAGCTAAGAACGCCCGTGCCAGGATGACTCGAGGCAGGGTGAACTCGCATTCCTTTGCTTCTGCATCCGTGCAGGCTACTCCAGGGCCGGGGGCGGGGGAGGGGGGGTGGGCGGCGCACGGGCCACATCCCACGAGGAAGACCTCTGAGGAGCGGTGACGCTGGCCACCCGCCAGGTGAGGGGCACCAGGCAGGCGTGGGGGACCGGGCTCGGCCAGGGGCATCCAGGACTCCAGGACGCATCGCAGATTAACAGCCCATCCGCACGCACGCGGTGCCTGTGTGCGTGGGAAGTCGCAGAGAGGCTGCCCTGGGGAAGGGATCAGGTGCAACTGACGTCACAGGGCTCCTGCTGAAGCAGGGGCTGGTGAGGCCAGGAGGGGACCCTGTCCACGCCAGGCAAGTGGTGTTTGGGACCTGTGTGTGGGGCAGGGGGAGGTCCTTGCTAAACTGGCTTACTAGGGGGCTTTGCCTACTTTGGCTTTTATGAGGAAGTTACAGATGCTCTTGACTCACTGGGAAATTACATCCATTTTGAGTCAAAAATGTGATAAAGCAGAAAATGCATTCAGTCCCACTGGGCATGGTGACGCATGACTGGGAGGCTGAGGCAGGAGGATGGCAAGTTTGAAGCCAGCGTAGGCAACACAGTGACTCAGCGAGATTCTGCCTCAAAATAAAAAACGGTAATAAAAGGCGCTGGGGACCTTGCTCAGTGAAGAAAGCCTTGGGTTCAATCCCCTGCACGGCAAGAACACCAACCCCTCAATAAAACCCCTAAACTACATGACACAAAAATGACTGCATCCAGCAAAACAAAACAAAAATTAAAAAACCAAAAATCCAAGAACCAGTGTTCGCTC